GGTCCTGAGGACATTCATCATGAACCACCTGTAGTACACCACCTGTCTTCACACACCTGCTCATGTCGCACTGAGAAGGCAGAAATTTTCAGTGTAGATTTTTGCTTTTTATAGGAAGATTTGCAGAACTATTCAATCATACCTCGTGTAGGTCAATGACCAATCATCATAGTGAATCTTTTACCAATGTTTCAAGCATTTTATCTGTTATTTAAACTATGTTTTATTTTTATTGTTTATGTCACATTTCTTTTTAATTTAACAGAATCATTTTAACCATCCGTGTGTATCGTACGCCCTTTGTTTTCTGTCTTGGTCTAAAGGCAGAAGCTTTCCTCGGGAGCTGGAGCAGGGTCTTTATCACAATGCTAAATACTAGACCAAGCCTCCAGGGTCTGACATTGGAGATCAACTGTCTGTTGGAATATGACAAATATCCAATCCAGGAAAATATGTTACCAGGATACGAGCAGTAAAGTCACTTTTGTTGTTGGCTGGAATACCTGGTCCTTTTCATAGCTATTCAGAAACTGACCATTCTGCAGAAATATGTATTTACATTTCCCAAAATTGCATAGTGGGGGTCTGTGGGTTTTGGAAAAACCACATGGTTGGATTTTATATTGCTTGTACTATATGTTTGCTTGTAATTTGTAGCAAGCATGCTTTATATGTTGCAGGGAGAAAATATTTTTATGGCTCAAATGCAAATAGTTTTTTGTGAGCAGTTTTATGTTCCACTAGAGATTAGCTCTTAAACAGGTTCTGGAGAAAACATCCTCACGTCAGCCAAACTGCCAGGATATTTCAAAGATCATAGGGGGGCCTACAGTGTAAATGCAAACATTTTGAGATGAATTTTACCTAATGTGGGTCATTAATACTTTATATCTACTGTTAATCATGCACTGCTCTAGTAATGCATCACAGCCAGAGAAATATAGCGTGCAGAATGCTGGCAGTCCTTCATTATGTTACTATCCCATGTTAGCAGCTTGCTGCTGCAATATCAGCCTGTTCAACTCCCCATCATAATATAACTCGTCTCAGATTTATACTCAGACTTCTCCCTGAGCTCCATCTTTGTAGTTGGACCACAATCTGCTGTTGGGGACCAGCCAAGGCTCAGTAAAGCAAGCTTTGGGTACTCGGTGTGACATGGAGTTGTGTTGCTAATTATGCCAATTGTTAATGATAAAAACCACTAAAAACTAGTGCTGTTTGAAGATTTTGAAAACTTGTTGATGCAGTTGTGTTTTCTGGGATTCTGGGATTATTTGCTTGTTTAGAATTTTTAATTTTTTTTAAAAATGTGCTGGGTCATTTTTGTAAGCAAGCTAGCTAATAGCCAGATGAAGGCAAGCTAAGGATTGGCTTTGATCCCTGAAGCCAACCAAACATTTCTTCATCTATCTAGTGCCCCATTCACATTCAGTAGAAAAATCTGTCGTTTTTCCTGCATGATGTTAACTAATGTTAGTTTACCTGCTAACACCGGAATAAATTTGACAAGCTTGAGTCGAGTATATTCATAACACCATAATTTTTTTTCTTTCAACATTGGGTGTAATGAGTGAGGGATAGATTTCACTGAGAAACTGCACACCCACAGGCTAGCAACTTGTGAATCACACAGAAAAGCACACTTGGTTTTATTCTCTTTCAAGGGGGCCCCATTACAATTGGGACCATAATTTACTAAATGAAAATTATATTTTGTATAAGACATTATTGAGACGATCGTTTACGGAGGTCACAGACAAAGACACTGAAAGAATGGAGGTTTACAGTACTTTCAGACCTACACATTTTACATATAACACAGACTAATTGTAAGTTACCCCAATGGCATACATGGCCAAGGCAACTTTTTTCAAACTCATGTGGAGTTTGTGTTGGAATCTGTGGGTACTGGGAGACACTGTGTCCAGTATATGTGCATTTTTTTAACACCAACATGGTATTTTAACAACAGCAAACCCTGTTTTTGGATTCTTGAACTGGTTAATGTTCTTAGCATGCATTCTGGTTTTATCCAGAACATTCACCAGTTTTCTTATGCAAAAATATTTGAAGGCCGATAGTTATTGTTAAGGCCTCAGGCTTGGAGAATAGTCAGAGACCTGGTTGCTAGGGTCACTTGGTATATTGCCCGACCACTTAGCAAGTGGTTGCTCGCTGTCATTGAGTGAAATCTGTTGCTAAGAGGGTTCTGATACAAAGCCTGCATGGGAGAAGCTGATTTGTCTCGCTGATTAACCATCTAGGGGTTGTATAACTTGAAAAAGCACCAGTTGCTACGCATTCTTCACAGCTTCACTATTACTTAGCGATAGGTTGGCAAGTGTTTGCAGTCAACAGTGTCTTCCATATCATAGTCACTGCTAACAACCATTCACAACCAGATGGGAATACTCATTTTTCCCTGCTGACCAGTGCTTGACAAATGGTTGCCAGCTGGTCTTATGAATGTGTGACTAAAGCCCAACATCACTGGATGTGGGTCATTGTGTGGTTAACATTTCTGGTCCATTGTTGAAATTTTTTTGTTTGTTAGCAAGTAAATAAGCTGAGCCAACATGGCTAATGTTGCTCATTGTTGGTGCTGTAGTGTCACAGATGAGAGGTAGAGCGAAGTGAGCATACTTTTTTTTACATTATATATATGTGTGTGTACTTACGTGACATGTATTAACACTTAAAAAATGTACCTTTGAGCTTCTCAAAGTAATATCACATTTCAGAGCAATCAAATACCAATTACAGTGTGTGCGATACAAAGAATACGTTTTAATACACAAATATGTTGTAAATTAAACACGTATTAAATCCAGACCGAGCATTGTAGCTCAGTCTGGCATCATTTAAGGTTAGTTTAGCTTTTTTTTTTTCTTTCTTTCACTAAAAAAAAAGTTTAACTAATTTTGAAATTTGTGCCTTTGTTTTACTTATTTCCATGCCTGGCTCGTCTCGATTGAAAGGCTGAGCTGAAACCAAATCCAACATGGGAACAATGCAGGACTCAACTCTATCATAATGAGATGTTTTCAACTCACAACCTCTCATATTTCATGTTAACAAAGGGTAATGATCTTCCAATTTTATGGCTAAAGGATGTTAACTTGATGTTTTATTCTTTTTTTTTAATCAGAAAGCGCTTTGCTTCCAAGACACTGCTTGAGAAGTGTTTCTTTGATCAATCATCTGAGAGGGTTAAATGCTACCTAAATGCATATTATGTAAAAATACTAATAAATCACAGCCTGAAGTTTATGCACATGCTTATCAAATTATCCTCACCTGCAAGTCCAAACATTTTGGTTCCTTTTGCTCCATCAAAAAGTTGCATATTCTTGTTCTGCTGTATCAGAAATAGCAGAAAACTTAAAAGCAGATCAGGATCCAGTCGGATGCTGTAAATTAATCAGTCATTTATTTTGGAATTCAGACCTGTCTTTGGTTTCACTTGGTTATTAGTCCCAGCTTTACTCTAATGCCTGGCTTGGCGAACCCACAAACAGCATCCCAGAGATCAAATTGGAAACAGACTTCTCGCTATTATAAAAGTTGCATTACTCTGCAGGTTGCTTTTCTTTCTTTTCTGTAAAACAGAGTTCTTTTATAACCTGTTGTTGAATAATAATATGATAATGGTGGCTGTGAAATGCTCTGAAATCCATCAATCTTTTTTATTCCTCATGGTAAGTCATGACCTCAAAGTGGTCCTTTTTCTTTATTTTAAGGCCTCCTGCTGCGTGAGCCTATAAAGAGAAATGTTCCACAAAAAAAGCAGAGGGTCGAGTAGCACGCACCACTAGGACTACGCAGCAGTCATTTCCTCCTAATAAAATCTTAGAAAGTAATGCAAAAAATGTTCTACTCTTCTTTTTTCTTTGTAACATATGAAGTCATTATTTGACAATTTAAGATAAAACGTATTACAGTGTTCTTGTCATGCAGAGATCACTCTCTGTGACTTTCCAATGCTGCTTTCAACTTTTGACTGTTTGATTCGATGATTATTTCTAGTAATGCTGCAAATATGCTGCCTAACCAATCTAAAAAAATGCCCAAATTAAAAAATTATTTACAGAGTTAGAGGAAAGATGTCATGCAGAAGAAATGGTCATGATGATTGTTTTCTGTTTGTTGTTGTTGTTTTTCATTTTAGTTCAGACCTGCATATTAGTTTTATTTTCCAAAAGAAAAGTCACGGCACTCCCCACCAAGTGCTATAAATTACCTCCTACATGCTTTAAAACTGTGTTTTAGTCACACAGGCTTAGAGACCAGTTGATGACCGCTTGACAAACGTCTTGGTCGATAGGGAAAAATTTGTATTCTCCCGCAGTACCCTCTTTGTGACCTTTTTCACCTAGTGACACCCAGCAGGTTCAGTCAACTACTCACAAGCAATCAGGAAATGCACCTTTCTTGCCTAGCCATTGAGGGTTTCCAGGATGTCTCCAGACATTTCTATGCACGGGTCTCTAAGCCTATGTGAATGAGATCTTAAGCACTATGCTTGTGCAGCTTCAAAGCAACAACAGAAGCCCAAAAGGACAGTGAGTAGAATGGAAAACACTGGTTCATAAGTTACATTCCCACACTTTGTCACTTCAAAAAGTGCCAGATGTTCTTCTGCCTTTCCAAAAAAAAAAAATACTTCCTGAGATACCTTTGCTCCCAAAAATGATCATCACTAAAGTGGATTCAGGTGGTTTATGGATAATGCCAGCCCTTTTGGTTTTCTTTAAGACACTTAAACATGATGGTAGCTGTGCCATCATGTTTAAGTTGGAGTCATCTTCCACTGTCCGCACAGGCATCGGCTGCTGCCAAGCTTGCAACATTTTCCAGCTGGCCTCAGGGAAAACCAGTGGTATATCAGTGCAGCAGTAACCCCGTGTGATTATATAAAATCCTTATATAAAGGATATTCAAGCTTTAAATAAAATGACCCCAATCATCTTACATTTATTGTTGCCTCTTTTTTACAGCTACTACAACTGGAAGACGCAAGTGTCCACTTCCAACTCGAGCCCAAACTTTGAGGTGATTTATGACGACCCTAACGGCCTTCTCTTTAAGAACAAGAGGGACAAAAAGATTCTGAATTTGGACCCTTTGGTAGGTTTTTGTGTTGCTGTTGTTATTGTCCTGCTTTGGTTTTAAAACCTAGGGAGACAAATGGTGCTGCTAATTAGACCGGGTCACCTGTTCCATCGCAGTAAAAATGTCTCAGGGGAGCAAAAAAGGGCTTTAGGGAGAAGGCTCTTTTCTAAATTCTTTTTGCTGCACAACGGACTGCTTCTGAAAACAGATTTTGTTGTCCTTTTGGCTCAGATGACTGTGATGCACCTCCAATATCCTGATCCTTTCCTCTCTTGTTACCTTTAACACCTTTTACTTTGTTGCACCATTTTAACGAACTGCAAATGTTCCAAAGAAAATCGCTTATTTTTTAACTAGTCACAAGTTACTTCAGAGACTGCACTCTCAGAGAAGAGGTTGGGGAGACAGAGAGAGATAAAGAAATCAGTGGGAGGGAAAGATATTTGTGTTCCACCTGCACAAAGAAGGGAGGATCAAGTGGTCGAGACAGGTGCTTCCTCTACACTCAAAGGCTGACAGGGGCCCTGGAAGAATAACGACTCCCTAATGTTTTTTTCTCTCCAGTTTCCTTCTTTGCTGGGGGGTAGGGAAGTAGTTGGTGGGGCTGAACTATTTTGAAATTGCAGACAGAGCTGTGGGGACTGCGTTTTTGAGGCCAAGCGCCAAAATGGCAGCACAGTGTTCTAGCTGTGGTCGAGCACCGCCCCAACCAGGCTGTCTATTAAAAACACAAGCGAAGGCATTGGGAGCCAGACACAGCAAACCACCCGTGTGCCCAGAACCCAGCTCAGCTCAGCCTAGATTGGCTCGACACGGAGCAGCACAGAACCATCCGGCCTTTAACCCGCCATGAGCTCACTAGCTGCTCATGTGGCCTTAGAGCCACCAGAGAACCTTCCAAAATCAAAGCTCACATCAACTCATTTGGGGTGGCTTGTTTGTTTTTCTGCCTTTGTCATTCCATGACCGCTTTTCTATCCCTGCCAGAAAGTGGGTTGGGGTGGAGGGGTTGTCATTTTTCAGTTATGACAATGGCTTGATTGGCTTGGCAAAGTAAAAGTTAGAGAGAAAAAAAACCCTTGATGCTCAAATTTGAAGAACAGGGTAAGCTGACATGAATTTAAATGTGAGTGTTAATGACACTGTTTGGTTTCTATAACATTTGAGAAAAAAAAGATGCTTGGCCTTAAGCAGCATTTCCCATTATCTCTCACTGTGTCTGTGACATCAAGTTTATTGGCTTATTTTTATTGATGCTCTTTTGAACTTGCAGAGGAAGACTGTCTCAGTTATTAGGACACCCACAAGTGTGGCTTAGGTAAAAGTGTAAATTGAGTGTAATGGTTCGCTATGGTTCCGTTCCCTCCAGAAGCTTTTGACACACTTAGCCTGAAATAAATGTTCCCAGCTGGTAGTGGCTTCACATCTTAGTGGTGGGGCTGTGTCAGCTTTGACAGCCAAAGTAACACAAAACATCTTGGAAAATGAACAGTTACAGTCACTGTCAAATTATGCAGCACTTGGCCTCCTCTTTAATATACCTGCTATTATAAAGAGGTGTGCTCTAGAGATGTGCGGTTTTGTTTAATTGCTAACATACTCTCTCTGTGGCAGCTGTCACATTTTCAGTATGGTGATATTTTTAATTTAACACTGAAACTAATATTTCCATGCACTGGAAAGCTATCTTTGGTATTTCTAAAACCACCGATAATAGCAACTCTGTATTTATTTGAAGATTTTAGCTTCTTTCAGCTCACAGTTTTGGTTCTAAATGATGCAGGTTTGATGCAGAAAAAAGTAATAAAGATGATGTTTAAAAAGTCTCATGAATTCACCTTTTTTGTTCTAAAAAAACAGAAAACTTTAAACTAAACAACTAAACAAGACTTGAATAAATTGAGATCATAAATTTGTACAGAAAGTCCTTAATAATGTCATAAATCAAGTGACAGGTAGGGGCCTTTTCTTATAGACTTCTATAGAATCTGACTCCTTGTCTAATGCCCCCTGCTGGCCATTAGAGAGAGTGCAGATTTTAGAGTTGTCCACATTGGCTTCACTTTTACAGACGGAAGCTACATCCATCTTTTCTTATACAGCTTCTGAAAACATGTCTTGAGATCTTGAAAATTCATGAGACCAGTCGAAAACATCACAAATGTTTAGTTCTTTGCTTTGCGTTTGAATGCACGATTGTAGACTGTAGACAGCACTACCCCCAAACAAGCACCACTAACTTCTCTGTGCTGGGTTTCAGTCTGGTCCTGGCGAGGACTCCAACAGGACATTCCTGCAGTCGGACATCTACATCCATGTTGTCATCTACGACCACAACGTCAGGACAGTCTAAGCTTCACAGGCCGTCGCCAACACTTGCATACATATGGCACGTATTGGAGAGCACTGGAAGCCTCTAATTTGACTGAGTTGCTGTAGTTGGACTATCATTTACACTGTTCCCCTCATATCATGCATGCCATCTGGGTGGAGGTGTTGTAGTGGAGAAAAAAAGGCTTTAAACTGAGGAATCCCAGAGGATGAAGTTGATGGACTCGTGTGTCAACTTGGAAGTTTCTTTGCAAATACTCTGGGGTTTTATGTCTAACTTTGGCCTTAAATTGTTCCATCCAGGTCGGGATTGACTGTGCTTTTGGCACTTACCCAAGCAAGCAGAGTTAGTTAGGGGCAAGAACCTGCTCAGAGACCCCAGGCTCGTATCATCATTTGGTCTGGCATGTTTTGGGCTGTTTGTCTAAACAAATTAAAGGCGTAAGAGCTTTGAAAGATGATGGGGGTTGCTTTCATGTCCTCCCTCAGGCTGCGGTAGCTCCAATTGGACTGGAAGAGTGGGTAATGGGCTTAAAGCATTCCGTATGTTTCCAGATGCAAGGCACACGTTACGGGACATCAAAGTGCCCTATCATTTACATATTAGTCATTCACTATGACATTTTTTAATTATTTTCTCAGAGGGCTTTTGGTAACTTAAATCCCTTTAATTTCAGGATTATTATTTGGTTTTTGTAACAGTATCTAAATCTAGAAGTTGAGCCTTTATTAGTTCATAAATTTGCTTTCTGTACATTCTGCTGACTCAATGTCTCTGCATGTAGAAAATTTGGGGGGATAGCAGTAATGCTGCTTCTCAGACTTATCTACCTCTGTTTATTGTGTTTAGTCCTTTTTTGGACTAAACACGTTCACTGGGCGAGATTTAGGGTGCACCTTGGACAGGTCATCAGTCCGTCACAGGCCTAACAGAGGGACAGTCAACCACACACTCTCACATCCACACCTACAGCCAATTTGGAGTCACCAATTAACCTAACTAGCAAGTCTGAGGGTAGAAGACTACCCAGAGGACACCCGTGCAGGCACAGTGATATGCAAACTCCACACAGAGAGGCCTCAGCCAGCCAGGAGATTCAAATCAGGAACCTACCAAAGGTAAGTAACAAATAATGAACACATTAAATCTTAGTTAATTAATCCAGACATGCACGCATAAATAAATAAATGGCTAGGGGTTAGGATTGGGGTTTTATGAGTGGCTGTTCTGAACCTGCATCTGAACATTTATCTGCTGCACAGACGTGCAAGTGATATCAATCTTTTCATCTAAATCAAATAAGCTTATTTCCTTAACTGCTGAGCCTTTAAGCTCACACTGTCACCTCCACATTTATCTCGCCTTTATATTAATTTTCTCATTACTAATCTATCACCTGTTTTTCCCCTGAAAGTCACAAGCTTCAAACAAATTAGTTCATTCTAATACAAATGTCTAATGTTTCTCATCTGGCTTGATACCAGAGAAGCCTTCCACTTGCTGCATCTGTTTGTTTTCACCGAATTGGACCCTGTTGTCCTCATTGAAATAATATGTGCGGTGACAAGGCTATTTGGGCTGTGGTTCTGTAAAAACTGGGGTTAGGGAAATGACGGTCTGGTTTGGGGTTGTTAATCATTACTGTTCTTTCGTTTTTCCTTCCCTTTTTTAAAGACGATAGGAGTTCTGGGCCTGTTTTTGTGGTTATCGTGAGCAAAGCTGGTGAAAAGTCTGATGGAGTTATAAAAGTGACACAGATGGGAATGTAGGATATGCCTATTTTCAGTCTTTAACATGTTTTCGTGCAGTTTTATGTATTTTTTTTATCATCTATTTGTGGTTGCTGGTGTGTAAACTGATCTTAAACTGTTTTTTTGTTTCTTGCTGTAACTACAACCTAAGTAGCAGAAGTATATTCAGACCTGGTTTCTCTGTTGACTGCCTTGTTGAACAGCATATTTAACCTGAGTGCAGGGCATGTTGTAATTGAGAAACCTTCCACCTGCCGATCTCACTACTTGGTTATTTGTTGTTGTTTTTTCTGTTTTCAGTTTGGAGATTTTTTTGTAATTGTATTTGGAAATGAGAAGTCAGGCAGCAAATGAACACTTCACCCTCATCTACAGCTGTTTAGGTTTACAGGCCACGGCTCATTTATGTGGCCAGGTAATGGCGATGGAACTGGCTGCTTTATTCTCTCTCCCACCCTGAAAGTTGCATCAGTCATTCCAAATACCTTCCAATGAAAACAGCAGATGTGCACAAGACGGGAAAAAGGCCATCTAAAACAAACAGGCAAACAAGTGCACTGCATCTGAAATGCACTGGTTGTTCTTTGAATGCCTTACCTCTGTAGAAGACAGCATTTAAAACGATTACTGGAATCCACCCAGATCATGTGTCTGCAAACAGGGATGATTTCACGATAAAGTCCAGGTTAAACAGTAATATTCCCCTTCATTTCCTTTATTGGGCTTTTAAGCTGTTGGGGTTTTAACTGAAGCGTTAAAACCCCTAATGTTAAAACATTAGTTAGAGGTCTGACTTGCCCCTAATATGCACAACTTGAGTCAAAGAGGTGGATTCAGACTGCAGCAGAGGCACGATTCAGTCTTTTCTATGAAACAAGCTCAGTTTCACCTCAGTTTGATGTCTTTTTGTGTAGTTTTCACTCACAGATCATTGTGTTTGACATCTCATTACCTACAACCTTATGATTAATAGATTAATATTGGCATGCAGATATTACAATAACCATGTGAATCTACTGATAGCTGCTGACATGCAAAAATAAATTCCAAATTAAATCCTAAGCTAAATTACAGCGCTTTCACTTTCAAACACACAACCACTTTTTACCCCTCAGCCAAAAAGGCTGATGGGTTATTGTTGTCACCCGTTGGATGGGCGAGTGGGCAGCGTAGACACCCAAGTTTTTGAATGCGCTAACTTGAGAAGGATGTCACCTGTACAAAAATACAAACCCAATAAAAATGTCTAATTGGCAGAGGTGTGGCCTAGCAGACTTCTGCTGATTGGAGCCGCCTGTGTTGTTATACCTAAAAGCCTTTCTGTACAATTGTTAACGAAGGGTGAAACTATCGAGACCAAAACCAGGTTCAAAACATCTGTTTTAATGCTATAGATTTGGGAATGTTATACAAATATACGAGATTGACTCACTTTTGGGGCCAGTCTCAAGTGGCCACAACTGGAACTGCAGTTTCTGACACTTCATGTTGGCTTTATTTTCAGAACTGACTTCGGGTGTTAACATACAAAAAAATAGTAGATTTAAACTAAATATTATAGCTGAAGTGTTGTTGAAACAAATGTTTCAATCTATAAAGTCATGGTTTTGCAAAGCTTTTTTCTATCTAGAACATCAGCTTCGATGTACCAAGTATACTTTATAATTTGAAGTGTCTTTCAGCACAGGAGTCAATTAATTGGTTTTTCATTGGATAGTTAAATACCACGGGCACCGTTGTTAAAACTCACCAGTTCAACAGTCACGGACATACATGTTGAATTTGACCATTTGTAAGTTCCTTTACTTGAATAAGTTTTCTTTTCCTTTGACAACTGTTTTATTATTGAGGGCAGTAATACTCTTAATCACTGTCCACTTTAGGGACTGGCTCACAGTTAAATCCAGAGTTGTCCAACATCCAACTTACAATGTGCTAAATGATCAGGCCCCGTCATATCTTAAAGACCTCATATTATCTCATATCCCAATAGAGCACTTTGCTCTCTGAGTGCAGGCCTGCTTGTGGTTCCTAGAGTTTCCAAAAGTAGAATGGAAGGCAGAGCCTTCACGCTCCTCTCCTGATGCTTCTTGCTTATCTGGTAGCAGCTGAAGACGTTAAAGTCATTCAGCCTGTTGACTGCTATGAAAGACATGGCATGCTAATATTATTGCCATCAGATGTCCAAGGGCGGGGAAATGCCCTAATCATTTCCTCCCGAGTGCCCCTGAAAGAGGACCAGTGGTGGGGGGGACTGCAGGCCGACTGGGTGGGGTGTTCAAACTCCGCCTGATGGGCTGTTTGGGGGGAAGGCGGGGAACAGTATGCATCCGGATCGGACTGTGATGGTACAGGATGTGTGTGCTTAACTCCATTGAACTAAACTAAGTAGGGAAGAAAGCCTTTAATGCCGACAATAAGCCGCTTCATTCAGCAGCGCGGCCCGGACGCGCAGCTCTGCGGAGTAGAAATTGCGCACGGAGGGGCTGTTCTCTGGCAGCAGTTTAGGTGTTGAAATCAGTTCAATAAACCTCTGGAATGTCGTTTAGTAAAATATTTTCACGCTCTCCGTCTCGAGTCAACCGACAAAACACGCCCCCTTCGGCTCTTGATAACGAGATAATTCGAGATAATTTGTCCCCAGGCTGAATGTGCGTAGAAGTATTTTGAACAGGAAACTCTCTCTCTCTCTCCCCCTCTCTCTCCGAGGGTGAGCATGTGTACGTGTGTGTGCGCAGTGTGTGTGTGAGAGAAAGGAGAGAGGAATACCCAGCTGGTCCCACAAGCCCTATAATACCAAGCACAACATGCTTTACCTTCAATGAAAGCTGAGACTGAGGGACGGTTGACTGCTGGACCTGAAATCAGCTTAGAGTCGGAGAGGCGCAGTTTTTCTCCTTCTGCTTTCTCACACCTCATCCTGCGCGCCGGAACCTTTTTATCATTATTATTTTTATCTTTTTACTGACTTCATTTACTGACTCAAACACATTTAGACCTGCAACTTATCAAAAGTAGAGACAACTTGGATAACGCATCTTCCTCTCTTGTTGTGACCGGTGTCAAAGGTGATGGTGTCATTTTCTTGCAGAGGACTCAGGTGATGGTATGTGTTTCTGGAGATAGGGGCCACTTTCGGAAACGTGTTAGTTTTTCCACAGCTGTTATTTTTTCGTTTGCTACGTTTCCTTGCCTCGAACATGGCACTCTACTCTCGATTTGTGATCGTGCTGCTTTACGGATGGAGTTATTTGTGCGTTGGATTGTGCGCGATGCTGAAAACGGACAATATCCCCGAGAGACTAAAGGTGGATTTTACGCATTCGGTGGATAAAAAATACGCGACAAAAGAAGACCGGGATGCGCTTTTACAGGATACGATGACGGAGCACATGCAGATGCTTTACGCGAAGTACAACAGCGCTGGATTTCCCTTCAAGGACGGCAACACTGTTCGTAGTTTCAAAGCGCATTGGGGTATGTATCAAATGTTTTATGTCTATTAAGAACACCGACTTCTACCAGCATAGAAGTCAGTGACCGGCATGCGTTTTTGATGTTATATGTTTCCATTTTGCCTCAATCAGCTTGAATCACCTGCATAGTAAAAATGCAAATCGGCACATTTTTTCCATCTATAGATGAAAAACTTAAAGTGGAAAGAACATCTATAATATTGAGTAAGTCTTATTTTATAGAGCATAATGTAAAATTCGTTAAGACCGATGCCGTTCATGTGTGCGGAGCTGAAAAAGAAATACACCTGTTGATCCAGTAATGGAAATGTGAACAACCTGTTACGCATTCCTTTTGCCAGTAAGAGTAAAAGATTCGCATCAGATGGTGGCATGCAATTTAACATAGCTTGGCCGCACAACTGTTCACACCTTCAGATTTTACTGTCAGATAGTCTTGATAAATCTTCTCTCGAGCCAGCATCTGGCAGCTGCCCAGACTGCCTGAGCTGTAGCAGAGTTTGAGTTTCCACTGCAGCGAGCGCTAATGTCCTTTCAGCTGGAGCTTTTTTCCCCCCTCTTCTTCAGGTTCATTTATAGTAACTTTAATCCAATAAACCCTCAAGTGTTTACACTTCGCTGTGTTATTATCACTCGGACCATGGGGCGACCAGTTGCCACTTAGGGTTAAACTTTGTTAGATTACACTGCCTCCTGTCGCCCGGCTGCTGTATGGTATAGTATTAAAGGGCAGGTTCACCCAAATCACAAACATATTTCACGATTGATCCTCAGAAGAATTTGGCCATGCAGGAGTTTTTGGTTTTTGCTTGAAATTTCTGCTTTTATCCCAAAGCAGTGGAGATAAGTGGGAGTTTCTGCTATGCTGTTGCAAGCAATGACATGTTTAAAATGTTAAAGAAACCTTCTAAAGTACTGGTCTGTTCTTTCTTTACAGTGACAATTTTCTTTTTGATTGAAGCAATCCTCAAAATGAAAGCCTGTTAAAGCTTGGGTGAATTGTCCTGTGTCCTGCCGATCTTTAAAAATATTTTGTAATTAATGATTTTTTTAATACGTTTTTTAAAATCCCAAAATAATTCTATTGCATTAGGGTGAACAACTGTTTCATGACCTGAGCAAAAAAAGTGCACAACATAAGCCCGATGATGAAAACGCTGGACTAAAAAGAGGAAATACAAACATATAAATTATTATTACTAGCAGTAAAGTTTAGGAAAGGCCATGGTCAGTTTTGAAATGATGTGAACCGTGTTGCACTCTGTTCATGATATTACTCATTATATGCACAGGTACTATAAACAAGAAACAGCTGCAGATTTTCAACCTCACCTCCCTCACCAAATCAGAAGACATCCTGTCAGCTACTCTTCATTATTATATTGGAGACCTTCAGAACAGCACCCAGGGCTGCTCCAGGTCCAAAAGCTGCGCTCGCCATGGTCCCAGGAGGCACAGCCACATCCACATGGTCATCTGGAGCTTTGCATCTGTGGATAACAAGATGAGGACTCTTGGACATTTTCGGATCAATGTGTCCACCCTCTACAGGGACTTCATATCTTGGCAGTGGAAGGACATAACTCGTGTGGTCAACCAGGCCAAACACCACGACGAGCTGCTTATTGGGATTGAAGTGGCTTCACAAGGTTCCCAGCCGTGGAAGAAGCTCCTGTCAGACCGCTCACCCTACATCCTGGTCTATGCCAATGACTCTGCCATTTCAGAGCCTGAAAGTGTGGTAGCTACTCTCCAGAGGCCCCACTCAGTGAGAGGTGAGGGCTCCATTTCACACGGCTTCCATAAAGTGGGACTACAAGAGCAAAACGACACCGAAGGACAGCCGCAGCCCAGACACAGGCGCTCAGTGAATGTTCTCCTACCTTTGCAAAATAATGAACTTCCTGGTCCTGAGTACCCATATGAGACGACCGGCTGGGACGAGACAACTCCCTACGAACCATTTGAAAACAAGCAGGCACGCCGGCCGCGTAAAAAGACACGCAAGAATCAGCGGCATAAGATGCCCTTGCTACAGTTTGATGAGCAGACGATTAAAAAGGCACGAAAGAAGCAGTGGAACGAGCCCAGGAACTGCGCTCGGAGATACCTGAAAGTTGACTTTGCCGACATTGGATGGAGCGAATGGATTATATCGCCCAAGTCGTTTGATGCCTATTATTGCTCAGGGTCCTGCCAGTTCCCCATGCCAAAGGTGAGATTCAAAGCCCGGTAGCACCACACTATAGTGCTTTTAGACAGTACTAAAGGTGCCAAAGCAAAAAATTAGTGGGTTAGAGAAGGTAAAGCTCAGTACGGTGGCAATTATAGTATTTCTACCAATTAGCTATATGAAGAGGGAAAGCTGATCTTTGGTAGACTTCGTCATTATAGATGGGTCACTTGTGAGAGCTGGTTAAAGATGGAATTTTTTCTTTTTAAAGTGATCACAGCCTAAAATGGTAGCACTAATTCAATACTCTCTAGACAATACATCTGGGAACCTGTTTTTTGTTTTTTCACAACTGAAGATTATAAATAAACCAAAAACCAATGTTTTTTTTTTTTTTGTTAAATTTAGTTTTTGTTCGGTTTTGATATTAATAGTGCAGATAAAAGTTTTATGAAAGCAGTTTAGGCAACTTACAGGTGATCTGCAGGAGCAGAACTCTTTATATCCTCTACATGGGCAAAGAACCAAAGGGTGGTCCGAGGCAATAAAGTATGGCCATTAAAGATGGTGAATAATCTGCTAGCTGATTAAATTGGAGAAAACAAATCAGACCAACTGCTACGTAAGTACAAAAAACAGCGATAGCACATTTATTTCTGTCTGTAATGGAAAATTGTGATAGCTTAGCAAAGCAACATAGTTCTGCAGTATATAGATATTTAAAAAATTTGTAGTTATACATTTTGTGTCAGAGTCACTGACACGTAACCATGGAAGCCGGGTGTCATTCAGTATCGGCCAATGCTAGCCAGACTGCTAATTAACTGAACTTCCTGTCTCTACAGTTCACAGATTTAAAATCTATTTTCATTATGAAAAGAATGGGATTAACAAATGTCTCTTTAACATAGCTACAATAAATATGTGGCTAATGCTTAACCTCATCCGTTATACTGTCTCAGTTTTGAATGTTTGTAAGTGTTGGTCACCTGGGCTATTTTTCTCTCATTTAAACAACTGGCAATTTTCTAATATTTAAGAGCCACTAGAAACCACTCTCACTGCAATCTTATCATATTTTAAATACTGCAGAAATATGCGTGGTATTTTGCCCTAGATTCATGTGCTGTGTGAGGTTAACGTTAGCAATGCTAGCACCAGCAGCCCATCTTTGCAACTTTATCATTTGCAAGTCTCAGAGTGAATTTACTAATGGTTCTGAAAGGATGATGTCTATTTAGTTGCTATAATGAAAAGCAAATAATTTGTCTATCCAAGCAGAATTTGTGGAAGGAAAGAACATTTAACCATCTCCGTACTTGCAGAAATCCTTATGGCCTCCGCTCTGGCTGCCTGACAATAGTGAGCCCATTAGGTGGTCGTCCCCATACTTTTAAGCTAAAGTTAAATCCAGTAGCTTCTGTTTTTCCAGAGTAACTTTTTTGAAAACCATTTCTTTACATGGTGATTATTAATGATTCCTTATGACGCAGTCCTAAATGACAGTCATGCCTGCATAAGCAAATGATAAGAATAGTTGAAAGTTAGAGCCATCATTTTCTATACCAGCAGTGTACATTATTGGCTTGGCTTGGCGACCCCTGTAAGAATTGTTTGGCTCTGTAACTAAAGACTGCAGACATTAGTCTTTAACTTTTTTTTTCTTTTTTTTTTTGCAGTATGGTATACATTATGTAAATAGGACGGGCTACATTCAGATAGCAGTCTCTTTACTGCTTTGCATTAACTTAACATGGGTAAAATCAACCTCAGGGGTCCCTGCTATCTTTCTGTTTTATATAACAGGCAACAGTGGCAAGCCTTATGTCATTGGCTTTGATCTTCAACAGCAGGGTTAAAGTAGTTACAGTAGTTGTGCAGATAGTTCTTCATGCTTTTATCTTCAGATTGTATCTTTGTCTTTAAAGATGCACATCAGATGTAAATCTAGATTTAGCCCAAGCAGTCCTACTATATTAAACCTGCAGTAATAGTGAAGCTACAGATGTCACTCTAACATGCTTAGTAAGAAAACCGGCGTCCTCATAAACAGCTGGTTGACCTCCTCATCAAAATTCAATAAAAATGTTATTACCTAAAACAAACCAAGTATCTTGAATGAAGTATCTACAGAGGATAACGTTAAGCCTTTACACAGAAGATGGAAATAAGTGAGAGACACAAAAAAACATCTGCCTGATGTTAAACATCAACTTCCCTTTTAGCTCGTGGCACCGGTGATAAGATAACCACGCAGGTATTTTAAACATGGCCGGAATGCACGAGCTACATCCACTTAATTCATTAAGTCGGAGTCACAGGTCTTTGTAGTCGGAGGTAATTAGTCCCAGAAGTAGAGCCTAGGGCTTTTAAGGCAGCCGCCTCCCTCTCCTGCAGCTTTTCTGCTCAGCCTGTGCAGAAAACGTTGTCTCGTTTGTCAGGTTGAAGTTTTAGAAGCTTCTAAATAGCCATGATTAAAAGGGTGCACTTTTTTTTTTCCCTGTGGAGTGGTGTGGGAAGACTTCTATCGCTTACTAGTTCCTGTTGAGAATGAAGCAGCTGTGCAGGTGAACTGCTGGGCGTGTAGAACTTAAATTCAGACCCACAGATATTATATTATTCAGTGCTAGTTGCACTGAATAATATTGCTATGCCCTTGACAAATAAGATTATATATGATCTTAAATGGCAAATAGGAAAACTACATGTGCAGAACTTCAGCAACAAGTAAAGTTTGATATTGTTGAATTGGTTATAAATTTGGGGACGTTTTGAATGTCTTTTTTCTGCTTTCAAATATGTTCGGTAGAAGGAAAAATAAATGTACGTGTGAATATTTGCTATCACTCTGGGTTTCTGTGACTCTGGAAAACAAGGCCCAGCTTGTTAGAAACATGTCCTGTTGGCTCATCAAAAGTTCATAACTGTTTAACTTTTACTTTAAAATGACATTTATTTGCTCTTTTTTTTTTTTTTTTAAGGCTCTGAAGCCATCTAACCATGCCACCATCCAGAGCATAGTGCGGGCGGTGGGCGTCGTCCCAGGCATCCCCGAGCCGTGCTGTGTCCCCGAGAAAATGTCTTCCCTCAGCATCCTTTTCTTTGACGAGGACAAGAATGTGGTGCTGAAAGTCTACCCCAACATGACAGTAGATTCCTGCGCCTGTAGATAGTTTCTTTTTCCTCCCAGGCCTCATCGCACACACCTCGTGTCATAAAGAGAAGTAAAAAACAAACAAACAAAAAACCCCACATACAGCCATAAAGACGGTCTCTTCTCCTGTTCCTGCAGTCATACACTCACTCAGATACAAATAACAAGTGAATACAACTTCCCTTTTGCACTGGAGGAGAGCACTGCCTGTTGTTCCAGGTGACGATGTGACTGTCAGTGGGAAGAAATGGATCACGTGAGTTATCCTAGTAAAAGTTGTATTTTAAACGTATTTATCATCGCTGCTCAGTTATCAGTTGGGCGACGGCAGGGTGGATGCGATCATAAACCCACTATCAAGGCATACAAACACCAGCTGAGGCATAAAAGAGACACAAACTGAAGGAAAATATTCACTTTTCAGGAAAAACCAAAACGATCTTCATTTCAGCTGGTGCCCGTGGGAGGGCGAGGTGGTTGTACTCATCTTTCTCTCCTTCACAGCTTGAAGTTGTCACCTCCAGGTCACCTCTGCTCGCATTTGCATGGTTTTTGTTACTATGTGTAAGTATTTATGTCTGTACTATCACTGTGTTATTCACCATACGAGAATTTATTGTATCATTTTTTGGCTTGGCTGCTATAAAGGGTTATATTAGATTCCAAAGCCAGAATTGTGACGTAGACTTTTAGGTTGCTTTACATATTTATGTTTAACTCTGTTGTTGTACAGAACCAACCTTTTTTTTTTTTTTTTAGAGTTTATTATAGGTGGAAGAGTAAGCTACATTCATATGGTCTCCTCATTAACAGGGACATTCTGAGGCATGTTTTGCTTCTCCAAGAAAATGAAAAAGCTTCATGAGTGAACCTCGTAGGTGAGGCCAGATTAACTTGTTAGCATGAGGCCAGAACTGCAAAAATTAATGCTCAGTGAGAGGCAGCTGAAGGAGAAATATGTTTTTGACGTACTCTTCTGTTAGAAACTGATGGAAAGTGTTGCGTGAGGTCTCGGAGGTGGAGGTGGATAAAATTTCTGAAAAAGTAATTTGGCTGCCTTTAAAACCCAGCAGAAGATGGATTTTTGCAGGGGTGCAACTTCTGCTGGGACGTTTTTCTTCTCTGCGAAGCTCCGCTTCAAACTCAGTTACGTTCTGATCCGTTTCATGAAAACACCAGTATTACTGAGGACCAGAAACATGTGGGGCTCCGCTGTAGGCATTTGGGGGGAAGAGCTTTAGGACGGGCTGACAGCTTTAAGCCATTCATTCGTACAAATTGGTAGATGGCTTAAAATAAATGAACACTCCAACTATCAGGTCAAAATGAACTTTTTTCAGTGTTAAATTGAGCACAATTTGCAGTAAACTGCCTGCTACCAAACTTAGCAAATTAAGTTTTTATGATTCATTTAAATACTCTCCTCCCAAAATTTTATTCTCACAGGAAAAAATACATATGCAACTTTTTCTTTTTTACCTGTTTTCCCCCCAAAAAACCTCTTGAAGGTATAGGATATTGAAAGGTACCGCTACTCTGACTTTTACTTGGATTTCAGTTTCACCTTTGTGCTGTTTTTCAGCTTCAGGAAAAACAGAAAAGTGGTACTTGGTGCAAGCTACTAGCATCAGCTGGGTACAGTGGTGGCAGTAGAAAAAATGAGATGAAGCAAAAACAAGCTGTGCATTATTATGTCCTTTCTATTATTCACGTTTTGAGCAATATGACCGTCATTATTATTACTGTGTATTATTCTACAGAGTGGGTTTTACATAAATCATTAGAGGGGGTGTTATTCGAGTCAGATCAGCTACAAACAACAGGCACACCTGGAGGAGCAGTTAACATGTCGTAACCTTGCCTTGAGTTGTGCGTTATTGTCACAGTTCATAAAACCAAATATTTATTCAGAGCAAATAGACGTAATTATAGCAGCGTTTGTTTTTTTTTCTATACACTTGTACATTGCCTTTGTATATAGCTCACTCTACTACAATGATGCGTCTTTGAGATAGAAGTGCCTTTTTGAATGGGTGGATTTCTGCTTCACAAAAAGTTCGAGTTGATTCATCGTGAAGCTCAAGTCAAAGCAAGCAGCTGAGTATTTTTCTTATGGTACAAAATTGGCTCCAGAGTGAACATAGCGCGTATTCTTTTGTGGAATTTATTCTCAAATGTATTTCAAACCATTTTGATAATCCAGAGACATTTATTTTGTGTCAATACCCGAGGGCTGATTGTGTAACTTTCTATATTTTGTACTGACACGTTTTACAGTTTGTGCTTCCTCGTTTTGTGCCGACACGATTTTTAGAAATGCATGTTATAGAATGAAGTGGCTTCCTCCGTTGGTGCCAGTACAACTTTCCAGATGTGACGACTGCTGACGCATCACTTTTTGGATCCTTGCTTTTTCTGCATTTGTGACTCAACTTTCCGAGTATGAATCGGTGCAGTCATCTACAGCGCAGCGCATCGACCTTTACTTCACTGTTTCATCTTCTCGTGTAAATGTTGTGCTGTAGGTTAAACAAAGAAATGCCTGTACAATAAGCTTCATAAAATATATTTGTATATGGAAAAGGCCTTTAACATGCATCTATTTATTTTCTCTATGTTGCATATCTTGTAAAGGTGTGGTCTGGGAAAGGGGGGGCCGAAGCTCAGAAATGTCGATGGTCTTTATATCTGCGATGGACATTTGTCACTACTGACTAAAAGTGTGGTGAACTGTTTAAAGGTCTCCCTCTTCTGAGCTCGGACCCTCCTTCCAAAGCATTCAAAGAAATGAATAAAAGTATGCAAGAACAAAATCTATCAAGACTTTTATTGTATTTATTTTTTGTCCACCTTTGGTTATGAAATGCTGTATCCCATTTTAAAACAAAACAAAAGAAAAATACTTAAAGTTCATGTATTTTCTCCCTCTGTACCTCCTGAAAATAACACAAAATCTGTTTCTGAGGTACAAGGTACAAGTACCAAAATTCAAAGGTATATCTGTATGTACAGGGATGTTTGTCCCTTTTTATTAGATTATTTACTTTTTGTTCATATACAGTGTATATATATTTTTTCAGGATTGCGTCAGACAAAGGCAGGTATAGATACAGTGTAGCACATTATGTGTGCTGATTAGCAGTCCAGTTAAGTTCAATCACTTTGTCTTCAACCACTTTAAAGTGTTAAAGTCCAGCTATTTAGCTGCCTCCCCACATATCTGTTATTACACTATAACATTTGATTAAGAACTTTCGAACATATTCATAATATTTAAAAGCTTTGCCTGATTTATATTTGGCCAATCGCATAAGGTCATCTTCTCAGTCATCTTCCAGCGTGGCTGCTATTTTTAGATCCCTCCCCGGATGTCCAGTTCTGACAAATTTCACTGTCCGTGCTGCGATTTCTCACCAACCTCAGACTTCTGCTTCCAGCTGACCCAGATTTTGTATCTCGCACTGTCACGGCTGATGAGAGCTGGGTCTGCAGGTAGAGCTTAGCAGGTTTTTAGCTGTCCAGTTTGAGTGCAAAGTACACTCGACAGATTTGCTTTTCTGAAAGGTTGAAGCACACCCACTGAAAGGTTGAGGAATCACCATTTTGACGCAGTGGAATAAATCCAGCACATACCAGAGGTACAAGTACATAATGGGACTTCCTCTGAGAGAATAGCAGCCATGCTGAAAATGGTCCAAAGTTGCACAACAAGGTGAGAATGGATCAAACTTTTATTGATCCATTCTCATAACTTTATGATCACACCCCGTGGGCTTGCTGGCCTAAACTGTACGAAGGTAAACATGTAGCAACGTGTCAGAGCTTGTAGATGTAACACAAGAGTGTGAAACATTTTTAAAAGTGAAAACAAAACTTAAAATGTTTTCTACATTTTATCTTACAGGCCCGCGAATTTTGCATCATATTTACCTTCATAAAACTGCACTTTCACTCATGATACATTTCCATTTTTTGTGATGAGAATCTTCTGATTACAATGCAAGACGTGAGTCATTTAAATAAACAAACAACTTCCACTCTCACACACAGACCACTAGCTTCATTTGTCAGAGAGAGCTCCGCTGACTGCCATTAACCAAAATGCCTCTGCTTTTACCATCAGATCTGCCTCTGCAGTAATGACAGTAGAATTTGTGAATTCAACGTCTAAATCCACCTCCGGTTTTCCATTGCAGCAACAAGTGGGCCACTGTAGGACGGCCCACATCTTTGAGTGTGATCCAACCACAGGTAAGACCTCTTTTAGGGCTGTTGAAAGGAAAAGGAAATATCTGCTGTGGACTAGAACCTCCAGATCAGCCCAAAGGAAATTGGAGTTAATGCCACTTTACTAATAAAATGAAAAAGTTCAAATGTTAAACCGATCGGTTTGAAGGGATTGTGTAAATGCAGTTAAAAAACTCTGTCCTGAAACAGCACTGCTCCTCCAAACTCACACATACATTCACCAATCAGAGGACACATTTACAATATACATGATATTTACAAATTCACTCACCCGTTTTTTTTAAGGTTTATATAAAGGAGCAAGTAGGTTAGATTGTATAAACTGTGTATTTCGGATGCTTGTGCTTTATTATATTGAGTGTATATACACAGAGACGTGGTACCTCAAATGTTTAAAATGGAAAACACACCAATTTAAACCCCAGGTTCCTCAGAATCACCTCACAGTAAACCCTAAACATATTCTGCTCACTTCGGCCTCTGCTGTTCCTCCTCACATCATCAACGGCTCAAACGTGTCTCCGGCTCAGGAAGCCCACCGCGAGACGCTCACACTTTATGATTCAAGTGGAGAGAAGGTGTTCCTGTCTTTGTTTGTCATCTGTGACAAAAGTGAAGAGGCTGTGAGGATAACACAGTTGGCACAAGGAGCTACAGATGCTTCATGGATGTTTCTGTTGGGGTACATATCCAGCGTGTGTTGGTTTTCAACGCAGTGTCATCTCCTCAAATTCCCTTTAGCTGTTAGAAATAAAGGCCGCATCGATGTTTCTGAAGTAAAAGAGCAATTAGGGAATTGAAAATAAGAATAGTATGACGTATGGCAAAGAATGCTGAGCTGAATAAACTCTTGGTCCCTCCAAAGCAATCGGTTATGAAGCTCGATGACACCATCCGAGTGTTTCTGGACCATCCATAAAATGTACTGTGCCTGAGGGCAAACTTAAAAAAGCTTGAGCTGTACCCAATAACTTCAGGAAATCTAAAACTACAAACACGACAGTGAATCATTTCTGTAATTTCTGCATGTCTGTAGTTACTCTAATGTGATGTTAGCACAATAAATTTAGTTTTTACTGTTTTTTGTGGGCATTACCAACTGGAAAGCTACCCTGAAATGCCCACATTGCCACTGGGAGATGTTTTTAAGAAAACAGTGCACGTTCAGGATTGGTTAAAGTGCAGGTTCGCTTTCACCAGCTCTAAAATAACTCACAGGGTTACTGTGCTTTACAGAGGGGCTCAAACTTCCACAAGGGGACAGTTACATGGAGGAGTTTATCCCCCAGTCACAGTGCTGGCTGTTATCACTTCCCATGTGTTTATATCGCCCTATTGCATGGGATCAACTCTCCTGTAGTTTTGGTTAGTTTCCTGCCCCTCCCTGAGGCTGGTTCTGCTTCTCTACCTCATGTGATCTTTGAGGTTCTCTCCGTAATACTGTAGGGTCTTTAGCTTATAATGTAATGAGTCTTGAGATGACAACTGTTGTGAACCGGGCCTATATAAATAAAAATAAACATTTTAATTGAATATGGGGTGGAGGTGTTTATCCAGCACACCACCCTGGTGCAGCACATATCAGCAGCAGATTATAGAGAAGCTCATTAATGTTTATAATAGCGTTATTATTGACTCCTAGTGTATCCCAATACCCGGTTCCAGGCTGACGGTTTCATAACGAGCTGTTTAACTCTGCAGTGAGCCGATTAGGCCGTTTGTGTGGCATTTTTGTAACTGAGTGTCTGCGGCTGCACGAGGTGTTGAACTGATAATATGGCTTGTGACTCCCAGTTGCTGATGAGTGTACGTCATATAGAAGGTATAGAAAGAATTTTTATCCTACTGTGATGCTAACCTTACTTATTCTAACTATGAGAACCTGTTATATTCCACAGTAATACCACAAATTGAGCTAGTTGATTCTGTGCAGCCACAGTAGCCCTGAGTGTCCTCTTAGCCCACTAACATTAGCCAGCTGAGGAGTGTTAACTTACCTGACTTAGTGTGATTCAACACAAATATTAGAAATCTTTCTTTTTTTGTTGCATAACGGGGCTACATCTGAAGTTTTGTCTGGGTTAACGATTAATACATTAATCCTGTATGTCAAGCTAGGCAGCTTCATGCTAATTAATGTGACACTGAGCACCATTAACCAGAACCTCCTGTTTTGTTGGCATTAATAAAATCCTTTCTGGTAATGTTCTTAATCTGCTTCTGGCAAATGTCTTGGTGGTGGCCCGACTCCTCTGAGGTAAAAGCTTGTGCATTTCACATCCAGTTTTGTTCGAATGTTGAACGCTGACGCGGCTGTTGGAGCAGCTTAAAACTGTTCTGAATCGCTTCGATTTTTCTCGACATCTTTGTCAAAAATAGTGTGAAACAGAGAGTAAAAGAAAAGTCAAGCAGTAAACCTTTACACCTTTGAAGGCTTCCATTCAAATGTGCACATATTGTATGGAGATGCAGGAGCAATACGGGTTTACCTTTTGGTAATATCCCATTTTCAATTATCTGTCAATCTGTGACAATCATAAAGCTGCTAAACCATGGCTGAGGTGATGTAAAGTCACCTGTAAGTCCACTTTTGCTGTTAGATTTTAGTTGTTAATGTGTGCAGTGGAAGGAAAATGTTGGAAAGATGGAGAAGTCCTCAGAAGTCCATGTCCCAACCAGACAGCTCATCAGGAGGACTGTCATCATCTGGAGGGTAGCTGTCGAAGTAACTGTGATCTGTTGGTCCTGTAAGCTATGGAGCGAAGGAAGGAAGAGGAGAGAGAGATTGTTAGCAAAGCATTGAGTTGGTCTGAAATCAAATAGTAACAACTGATGGGGCAACAAAATTCAACATGGCATTTTTAAGGGTAATACAAATTCCCTTTGGGGTTGTGTCAGGAAGGGCAGCTGGAATAAAACTTAAATCAAATGTGGAGCTACTTGCTGTGGTGACCCCTCGTGATAAATCACTACACATGAGCGGGGGACACTGGTTTCCTTTTCCAATGTGGAACAGTATAAAGTGTGCAGGAGGCAGAAAGCATGATGGCCACGTCTTGCTGGGAGTTCACATGACAGTTACCTCCTTTATCCTTATTAAGCCCATTTTTCCACAACAGGAGCTATAAGACATTGGGTGTGTGTTCATAATACACACGTAAGGGTAAGAAGGAAGAAATGCCTGCTGTGGGACAGGTATTTCTGTGCTGGAAGAAACCTCCTCGGGCTCTACACTGACTGGCTAAAGTCAGATAAGCAACTACAGTAAGATTTTTGGGAAAATCAAGCAATCAGCACATGCTAGATTAAGAAAAGCAGAACAAATGGAAACTGGATGAAAAATAAAACTCCATCAAAGTTCCTGAGAGATTTTACAGAGACAGGAGGAGGCCGGAAGAAAGAGCTAGAAGTGAACTAAAGATTGGCAGCGGTGCTGGTGTAAATGAAGTGGTGAATCTGACAAATTGCTCTGGGAGCTGCCTCATCCTGTCTGCTGTAGCTGCTTTTATCCTTTGTCCCGGCCTTCACACTGAAGTGCAGCTCAGACAACAAAAGGAGAGACGGAGACAGCCGAAGTGACGTCGGGACGCTTGACTTTTAAAAAGTCCCGCGATCATTGTTTCAGCCGGCTAATCTGCCTACAGGTCTCCTGCACACTTTAAACAGCAAACAGATATTTTGTTCTGAAAGTTTAATCACGCTTCAGTCATGACGTGGAACTACAAGTTTTACAAGTTTGATCACAGCTTACTTCTCTTTTCAGTGGCGATGGTAACGTCCTTGCCTTCAGCCCCTCCCAGTTGAAGCCATTAAACCACCTTCAGATACATTAGAGAAAACACACATCTGTAAGTGTATTTATCTTCTCACATTTACATATATGAGTTTGACTCTGTCAGAACAAACGCAAAGTAGGAAACGTCCCAATTTAAAGTTGTTAAATGTCACTTGTTCTGGATCAAGAACTCTTTCTGTACATTTTACTTGGACTTTGACTTCTATTCCTGGCTCAGTATGGAAAATGAGAACTAGGTCAGCATCACGTTTAAGAACAACATATTAATCCCTGCATTATGAGTATATATTGTTTCCTGTAATGCGGTAGCCTCATGCTGTCTTTGTAAAGGAAAAAGGCAAGTGGCAAGTTCAATCATTTGATAAGCCTTGACGATGTTTGCATCCGACTGCTCTTGCACACTGTTCAGTGATTATCTAATTGTAAAGGCTATAAACCACGAGCCTTCATCCATAATGTTCAATCAGTGCTAATTTGTGGAACTAATCTTCCCGCTGAGATCCACAACAAATGAGTCCGTTCCTACTTACCTGTGCTTCTTAATATCAGTTATTCCATTTTTGAGATTGCCCAGTCGCTCTGAGGGGTTCCGCCTATAAAACAGATCAAAGTCAGGAAATTAACTCTTCACCAAATTACTGTGCTAGTTCCAAGATGGTTGGGTTATGTTTTCCTGCTCTGTTGTTCAGAGCTTGAAGATAACTGTTTAATGTACCTGGGTGTCAGGTATACTGAGCACATCAGCCATCATCAGACTCTGTCCTGAAAATCTGAATCGAGGATTTTGTGTCTACTTAAGCTTCAGGTATGTCGGCCTGCGCATGTGAGTGTGTACCTGCATAGCTTGCGTATGAGGTCCTCCGGTCTCTTTGTTATCTTCTTCGGGAAGTCCATCTTCTCAATGCCTCTCAAGATGAAAGTGTACGTCATCATCTGGTCAATTCCTGAGAACGGAGGACTGTGGAGTGAAGAAAAAATCGGCAGATATTCAGCAAGCTTTTAGCAGTACTTTGTGTAAAAATGACTGCAGGTCAGTGGGCAGAGTGAAGTGGATGAGTGAAAGGATGATCTTGCTGCACATTGGAATCACAGAAGACGGCGTGCTCTAACCTGCCGGTAAGAAGCTCAAACACCAGGATGCCCAAAGACCAAAAATCCACACTGAAGTTGTGGCCTTTGTTGAGGATGATCTCTGGTGCCACATACTCTGGAGTGCCACAGAAGGTCCAAGTCTTCTGGCCACATCTGATCTTCTTGGCAAAGCCAAAGTCGACCTGGAAAAGGAGAGTTTAGTCTTTAAAGAGATGTTTACTGTCAGCATACAAGTATAGAGTAATGTTGAAACTTTTAAAAGTCCTCTGGGGAGCCTTTAAGGCTTTTCCACAAAAATACCTGCCTACATTAAAAGCCTTACTCTTTAAGAAACCACTGTGCTGCTTATGTCTGCTTAGATGTCATAAAACATCCTGACGTCTAAGCAGTTTTATCAGACTCATGAAAAAGAAACCAATCAACAAAAAATGTGTTATGTGACATGAATTTCTCCCTAATTCATTGTTTTCTTATCCATCCTACTTACTGTATCCATAACTAGCTTGTCAGAGCATTTGTTCACTGCCCTGCTGGGTCAGCAGACGTGATGTTCATGTGTAATGAAGCTATAATGTTGTGACACTGTCCAAGTTTGACTTGCTTTCAGTAAATGTGCCAGTAACCACTAAAACTGTAGTTACAGTGCTCCCCCCCTTCTTTTAGTTGCCCTTTTAATTGCTTATTACCAAACTATTTAAACTATACTTCATACTGCATGCACTGGTGCACGTTATTAAGACAGCAGCCAGAAGTCGAACTCAGGACCTTCTTGCTAACCCTTGTGCTACCATGCTCCCATTCTTATATTAGTGAATAATTCACCATATGTCACTAATACATGACGTACTCGGCAGAACACTAAACTTGTGACTCAAGCCACAAAACCTAAAGGCACCTGTGAGTCACAGATCAGGGCACGGTAGAGCTCACAGCACCCGCAGAGCAGAGGAATTAGCTGCATCAATTTACACAGCATTTAGATGGATGACGCAGAACGTGGGTGGAGAAAAAAACAAAGCAAAACGCTCACAGACCTGCCAAATGTCAGGCGCACACACAGGTGTGACCGAAGGAAATGTTTAGTTGTGCCTGACAGACTTTTTTGGTCACAATTAAGACCAAAACGGTTGCATCCTGGAGTCTGGAGACACACATTTTGATTAAGCCTGATGACTCCAAACTATAAGAAATGTACTGGTCATCAAAGCGGGAGGAACATGCTGACAAGTGTTGTTCTTTCATGGTTCTGAGACAAAATGCGTTTACTTTCTGGAACTAATCTCACCAGTTTGATGTATCCTTCAGAATCCAGAATGAGGTTCTCGGGCTTCAGGTCTCTGTAGAGGACACCTTTCCGGTGGAGGTACTCGAAAGCCTCCGTGACACAGCCCACGCAGAATTTAGCAGCAGATTCATCAAAGCTGCCCCTGAAGATCAAAACCCAAACATCCTATTAAAACCTTTTGCAGCTTTTGTGACAGTGGCTCCAGACAATGGTTGGCATCTCCTACCTGTCCCTGAGCAGACTCCAGACCTCTCCACCCAGACAGGCCTCCAGCAGCATGTACACATATTTGTTATCCTTGAATGTGCGATACAGTCTGGAGAAAATGAAACACAAACAATTTCAGCTTTAATCATTTGAGATCAGAATGAGTCTTTTTATTCCTTTTATTTATTTATACGGTTGACGCAGTTTCATTTAAATACCAGTTTAAACTTTAAACCAGCTTAAAGTTGCCTCGAGAAATGTTACATCTTAAGATAAAGAACCCGACAATATTTGAGACTGAAGACAACCAGACATGTGCAGCTGGTGAAAGAACCATCAGGGGCAGACAACTGCTAAGACTCTCAGGTCTAAAAGATTTGCACATATTTAACCAAATCATTTTCTGAGTTATAATTAGATACCATCTGAAAAATCTAGTATTTATTCTATTTCGACTCCACTGATATTTTGGTTTTTAAACATGTCATATTTGCTCAATCAGCCATGAAAGTTGAATGAAAATGGCAACAATTTTATATTAAAGTATTCTTTATGGTATATTTACAACAGTATTGTTAAATTCAACTATCACATTCAAAATAATCAGTAGTTGTCATTTACAATGTGAATTTTCTTTTGTTTGTTTGTTTTAGTGTGTGGTCAACAGTGCTCTTCTCCAAGAAAGTAACAAAAAAAAAGTAATCCCTTTACTGATTACTTATTTTCAAAAGTAATTAGTTACTTTATTACTTAGTTACTTTTTGAAAACATGATACAAAACCCGGATAAGTAATAAAGCAATAGACCTTTCAGCCAAATTCTGTTTTTCTGCATAATCCATCATGTAAAATTGAATCAAATGAAAAAGTCTCTTTTGAAAACTTGTTTTATTAGTTTTAACTTGATGCAAAAATAAGTTTTCTTCCCACACAGAGTGAACAGCGGACGCTAATGTTTTTGTCACTTTTTACAGAATCAAAGTAATGTCAGTACTTCCAAGCTTTAAACTCTGCATGGTCGCACGCGCTTAACGTCATTGTCACGAGACACTCTCACAAACAAAACCACGATTCAGTAATGCAGCGTGCTTACGGGAAAGTAACAGTAATCTAATTTTTTTTGCAATACTAATCCCTTACTTTACTCATTACTTGAAAAAAGTATTAAAGTATTACAGTAACGCATCTCTGGTACTCAAATGTTGGACTTTGCAGGAGGGCTGGACTTTTCTTGATACTGCCTTGATTTCAACGTGGGGAAAATCAGGTGTGTCAACGGCCCATTTTTCAAAAAATTATATCTTGAAAACTGTTTGATAAATGATGCTAAAACTGCACAAAAATCATTGTATATGTTTAGACTTTGTAACATAAAATTGACGGTCTAGCAGAAGGCTGCTAGATTACCCATGAAAAGCAACAAAAATACAAAATATATGATAAACAGGAAGCAGGGCACCTAAATTATTAAATTTCGCCCGAGCTGTAATTATCACATAAATGAATTAATTCTTGCTTAATATATGAAGTAATGTTTTCAGATTTTAGTGTAAATAGGAGCCTAGATCGACATCCGTGATTCAACATTAAGCTTAAAGGCTCTTAAAACTGCAGCGTGGGTGTCAACCACTCCACCACAATGCCACCGTACGTAGCCTTAAGTCTTACATCACCCGACGTCGGTCTTGAAAACAGATTAGGAATAAAATAGGTACACAGAGTGTATGAAGAGGAGGTTAGCTGGATGAGCGTTACAGAAGGTGAAGAATGGCTTTAATATCAGAGTCTGTTCCACTGCATACGGTGAAATCGGATCATCGTAATCTCACAAAAGACAAAGAAAAGCTCCTGTTGCAATATTTCATAAGAAATAACCAGATTTTCTTAGCAGACATCTCAATATCCCCTGCTATTCTACCCCACTGAGAAGATGTAATCTGCTCAGGTCCCCGACGGTGATCTCATCAAAAACTAATAAGCGCAGCATTGTGTTCCCAGACTAATGGAGCAGAGATTCATCATGTAGGATAAAAAATGGAAATGAGTTCCAAGGCTGGGCAAGAGGACGCACTTGACTACGAAAGGCGAGCGAGCCTCTGCGAGGATCCTCCTCTCTGAGTGGATGTGTTCTTCCTGCCTGTTGTCCACCACATGCTTCTTTTTGATGACCTTGAGTGCAAAGGTGACATCCTCAGTCTTCACCTTCACCTGCAGATGGACATGACAGGGTAAACATTAAGTTTACTCCTACGCATGAATACACCGTCCTAATGAACTTTCGGTAGAGTAAATTGATGCACTATCAAAATAATAATTTCTATATGAAGGTCAGATTAGAGTTTTCCAGAAAACATCTAAAAGAACCTGCACAATTCTGGAAAAAAAGATTCTTTGCAAAGATGAAACCAAGATTAACATGATGGGAAGAGAAAAGGATGGAGAAGAGCATCAACCATCGAACATGGTGGAGGTTACTAGTGTTATTGATGGTGTTACTGCTGATACAACCAGCAGGATGAAGAGTGTGCAGGACTACACTCTCTGCAAAGATTCAACCAAATGCTGCAAAACCGGTTGCGCAGCGCTCATGGATAATAACCCCAAAAAGAAATAGGATATTCTTCAGTAGGCATTCTCAATCCAACAGATTGCATTTTTTTCAGTTACTGCAGACAAACTGAATGCTGGAAGATTCTCAAACTCACCAAAGGTCAGCTCTTACCAGTTCTACTCGTCCAAACCCGCCGACCCCAAGGGTAGCAATGACCTCCAGGTGATCAAAGGGCCTGGATGAAGAGAATTCAGAAACCAGTTCCTTCAGCTGGATGACGTCAGGAGACAGAGGCTGACTTTGGTGGCGTGACACAGACCTCCTGGATGGAAGACACAGACAAAAACAGAGTGTCTACCTTAACCTAAACATTTAGCAGTAGAAGCAGTAGACCATAACTACTGTACATCTGTGAGTGGAGTTTTCACATCTGTAATTTTCAAATCATAATTTATTACAATTTAAGTGAATATCTGAGCATTTCATCTGCTGACAAGTGAGCCAACAAAAACTTTAACAGAGAAAAAACAGCTAACAGACGAGTGCCTCAGATGGCGAACACCAGCTTATGTTTTCATCAGGATTTTGAGCGAGTCTTCTCCTTGCTGTATTTTCCGTAAAGCACAAGATGTACTCGTTGAATACCCCGGATAAGAAGGATGGTGTGTCATGTTTCTACTTTAACTTGGTAAAAACAGCTAAACTGAAACAAGAGGTAAAAAATCTAAGCATGAAAAAAACTATAACGTGAATCTCCTTTGCAACACGAAACCTTAATAACCTGCAGACGTTGTATCAACCCAGAAGCTGAGAATAATTACACATTGCAGTGATGTGCAGTTTGTTTTGCAATAAGTAGTCATTTCTCTGTAATGCAACCCATTTCTTTTTCCATGCTCAGAACATTTTTGTTCGCTGTCCTGAACATCAGGTACTGCACCTACTTGGCATGTCTCTTCTTGTCGTCGCGATCGAGTGTTGCCACGTACCCTTGGAGGTACTTCTGCAGCTCATTGAAGGTGCCCACCGTCTGATCAAATGTCCTAGAAAAAAGACATCGGCACATTAGCAAACGAACCACTGGAATGTTGGCTGATTCCAAATCTGAACTCAGATCACTGATAGTGATCGAACACGGTGAGACAACGAATGAATTTTTGTGGGAAAACGTCTGGAAAAAGAAAATGTTGACACCGGCTGAAATGTATCAGAGTACAGCTTTGTTCTTCATCACAGACTGGCATCTTTGTTCAGAGTCATTATCGGGTGAACAAAAGCATGTCTTTTACAACCTGTGAGGCATTATTTTAAATCTCAATACTCACTCTCTGTCGATGACGAGGCACTCCACCCCGTTCTCATCAGCAATGATATTGGCAGACCTGACGTCGTCACTGAAAGAGATGTGAATCACATGCACACAAAAACTAAGACAACTGTACATTTTACAACTGTTTTCATTGTGAATTTGGCATTATGAAGCTATTTCTACCTCTGCCCACATTATGCTTTTGTGTTTTTTCTGTGAATACAAAACTTGAAACATTTTTAAATCATTCTGATAAACAATTCACTAAAATTTAGTGAATAAAAAGTTATTCATGGTTACAGATTTATTGGTGGAAAGTTGACAAAAAGCCTTTAAAGTATAAAGATTTTAAATATCATGTCAGACTTTTAAGGTCAGTAGATTGATCTGAGGGTGCTATAAAGCCACTTAAAACTATGTTTCTTACTGCCATTGTTTGTATTGACAACATATCGGGAATGATGTCTGGGATCTGAAATATCACGTTACTTTGGACCTCTGACCTCATCTACAAGGTCAAATAAGGTCAAACCTTCATATAATACTTTTTAAAATGGTTTTCAAAACATGTTTTTTAATTTCTATCTTTGTTTATTGCTGCAACATTTAGGAAATGACACTGGCATAAGGAGATTCTAAACATCACATAGTTTGCATCCAAATATCATGTAACATTTTTATGTGTTATGGCTTTAAAGACAAAAGAATGAGCTGCCTAATTAGTTCTTACATATAAAAGAAAACAAAAACAAAACCCTTCCCTTAAAAACACCGAGAGAGTGAGCTGGTTCTTGTTTGTTTATGATGCGTCGAAGAGCGCTCCACATGATTTCCAAAGCTGTGGTTGGTTCATTTTTCAGATTTTATTTGTATTCACTAATTAATTGTTTTGCACTATGTTATCCTAGCATTGGTCTCGGTATTGAAGCAGGTGCTGCGTTGTGTTACCTCCCAATCCTTACCTTTAATATTCATCTATATAGCACCAGTCCACAACAATCCCCTGACGCTGTTTGAATATTTCAGTCTTTTGTTGACATGACCTGACTGTTGCTGTATTTTACCTTATAAGTGCTTTTTCTCCAAAGTAGTCTCCCTTCTGCAGCGTGTTGATGATCTGTGGCAGCTTGTGGGCCTCGGTGGTCTGGGTCACTTTCACCTGCACAAGACAGTTTGCTGGATGTTCATCTCTTCACCTCCTACAGACGCTTTTAATTTTCTCTCATTTTTTTTAAAGCACTATAAAAACATAAAATGCTAAAGAACTGAAACAACCTTCCAAATGTTTGAGTTTAGTTTAAGGTCTTCTCTAATAGTACATAATCCGAAATGTCGTAGATAAGTTACTGATTAACATTTTGTATAATCAGGCATGATTTTTAAAGCGACGTCTATGTGGGCATAGACAGACCCGTTTTTAAAATCCTCTCTCCTCTCCTCTAGGTTTGTTAAACGGGCAGAGACTTTTAACAAACCTGTTTTGTTCAAAAAAATAAAATAGTCTGAAACGCAACATTTTTTCTGTAGAAGACATTGACACAGTCTGCAGTACTCTCTTCATAAATCCACACAGTCAGGCCTCCGTGACCTTTAATGAAGCTTCCAGATGAGAACCTGTCTGTCTGTCAGACGATGATGTATCGCTGTTCTGTCCCTTCACTTCTGGCAGAGCTGGATGAGGTGGCCGGGGGGAAGCTGGTAGCTACGTAGCTTTAACACAACAATTTCTTCGAAATTGTTTTGGATTTCCCCTCATCTCACCTAGATGACTGTGAGACCCATGGCCTGGTTTTTCTCCTATTTTTTTTTTTACACAGAAGTGATGTTTGGTGAAAGCAGGCCCTCAAACTGAACGAATTATAATGAAGATTACATTAACTATTAATTTAATGTTACAGTGCGTACACAAATGTGCTTTTAAGGAGTGTACTTAATTATACCAAATGGAACATGATGGGCCCAGTGTGATGTGGTGGTGTTGAAGTACTTTATGCTTTCCTGACTTGCTGTTTGAATAGAAGCATTATTTGCATATCAGACGTCTCTGATTTTCCTCTTCCAACTGTTGCCTGCTCGAGCTGCAGGCTTCCACCATTCCACGCCTGCAGCCTGAGAGTTGTCAAACCTTTCAGTAATTTGTGAAGCACTGAAAACCAGCAGCCCACCCTGGCCAAGGTCAAGCGTCCCACTGGTGGCATCGTGGTGCCGAAAAAATGCCACAATTACATCACAGCCGTTATGGTCAAAGTGTGCTTTAGCTAAGTGTCCCATTTGACCCCACTGACCTTTACTTCCCTGTTTTTCCTGATGGCAGGCACTCTCAGATGTTATTTCTACCCTCGTTTGGGGGGGGTTTACAAAGAGGACGGGTGGGGGGCATTTCCTGTATTAGCCCCCTTCTTTCCAAACAACATGTGTCTCTCTTTGGTTTGGTTTGGTTAGCTTAGCGCTGAAGAGCTGCAGTCTTGGATCAGCTCATAATGGCATTTTGAGAGTCCCTGTGGACAGCTCTGGTGTCGGGTTCCCGACTTATCAGACAGACTGGCGGGTGAGTCATAGCCCTACAACTCCCCAGACTCACGTACAGTTTGGTCAACATACTGGTCGACATATTGGACTGTTACTGAGGGAAGACACTTATTCTGTGTGTGTTTTATCTTGTCTTTTGGACATTTTCTCTCTTAATGATTAAACGTTAAACGCGATATGAGGCAGGTATATTACCAAGATACTCCTCTTTCTTTTGTTGGAGATGTGCTTACTATAAAACACTGCTGTATGTCGTTTTCATTTGTGGAAACCAGATTGAAGCAACGTCCTGCAAAGCTTTGAGAGTCGAGCAGTGCTCGAGCAGCTGTTTGGCACTCAGGCTGAGTAACAAGAGCTTTTGCTGCAAATACAGGAGCAGCATCCGGATCCGTGCAATGGAGACATCATGTAGTATTATCTCACCAAAGCACTTGAGGATTTATTCTATTGTTGGAAGACAGGATTATGGCTGGTGCCCCTAATGAGTGCCATTGTTGCAGAAAATGTCTCAGAAATCTCTGCAGTGCAGCTCATGTGTTTTATATTTTTATAACTGACAATAGCAAAAACTATGAATGACAAGTTAGACTGACTGGCAACATAGAAAGCATTTACTATTTTTGATTAATAATTCTTAAAGTAAAAGTAGTAATGCACTGATGCTATTCATAAAAATGATCTAGTTTGGTTTTGGTGATTAGTTTATTCCAAAACTGCAACAACAGCAGCATCCTGCTCGGTTATGAAGCAAATATCCACAGAAATGACTGCTGAGGGCGAGGATGTGCGGCTTGTTTCTTTTTGAGAATGACAGGTTATTATTAGCGTCAACATATCCCAGTTTACAGCTTATGAATGACAGGTTAGCCAAGCCCCAAAGCTCCCATTTGTTTATTGACTCTTTGACTCTATTTGTAATCATAATTTGCAAAAGGAGGATCAGGCTGTAATAAATAAGACTTACAACTAGTAACTGAGACCACGAACTCAACAAGGAAATGTTTACTAAGGTCGTGAATCAAGTGAGAAGTTGGATCGTTTTCTCAAATACTTCTAATAATGACAATAATGGATTGCATTTATATAGCGCTTTTCGAGAAACCTCAAAGCGCTTTACAATGCCACTATTCATTCACTCTCACATTCACACACTGGTGGAGGCAGCTACAGTTGTAGCCACAGCTGCCCTGGGGCAGACTGACAGAGGCGAGGCTGCCATATCGCGCCATCGGCCCCTCTGCCCAACACCAGTAGGTGAAGTGTCTTGCCCAAGGACACAACGACCGAGACTGTCCGAGCCGGGGCTCGAACCGGCAACCTTCCGATTACCAGACGAACTACCAACTCTCGAGCCACGATCGCTGTCAATAAGACACCCACAAAGAATCTCCCCCTGCTGGCCAGTAGAAAGAATGCAGGTTTAAAGCACTTCTGAACTGGCTTCACTTCACAAAAGCTAAATCTTTTCTTAATATATAGTGTATCGGTGTCAGAAGCAAGTTTAGGTTTATCATAACCCTAAATTATCTTTGAGTCATGTGGCTTTGTGTTCGTGCAGCTTGTTCAACAAACGACAGACACGTTACCTTTCCTTGTGCGATGATGTAAAAGGTGCTGCCCTCCTCTCCCTCTCGGATGACGTACTCGCCTTTGTCATAGTATTCCTAAAGGGAAGGAAGGGTGTGAGATCGGGGGAGGACAACCGTCAGAACTGAGACGTTGCATTGATTTAATCACTGGAGCAGCCGGTCTGATTCCTGGTAGCCGGGCCCTGCGGGCTGAGAGCAGCTGTCAGTGACGCTCAGTCATTCAGAGCCTCTCAGCCTGCTGTTCAGCAGAGATTTTCAGGGCTCATGGGGAAAATGAAAATTAAGTCAATAGAAAAATATTAATTATGATGTTTTTAATGTCTGTTAATGGGGGCTTGAGTTAGGATGAATTTGTCAGCCAATTTGTGTTTGACACGTTTTAAATGAACACTGAATGAACCTCAAATGAATGCTTGAAATGAGGTACGAATATGTCCATTTGATCCCTTTCCAAATAATAAAAAATATATATATTTGCCGATCACAATTTTCCGCAGAGAGGGCTGAAATTAACTTTTCAAAATGCCACAGATTTGATTACACAGAGAACACAGAAACGTTTTGAATTAAACTGGTTTAAAGTGATCATTTAGATATAATATGACGTGTATTTAATTATTATTATATTATATGATGTGAATAGATCTATATGTGGATGGAGCTTTAAGATAATAAACTGACTATACAATGCAGACAGTAAAAAAGGTCGAGCTGACACATAAAGTCAATATTCCAATTAATTCCAATTAATTTCAAATACAAATCAGTCACTGACTAATCATTTGTTACATAACAATCTACAAAACAGGCCCTCTAAACTCGGTGGTCGACAGGTGGACACACACCTGCGCTCTCTGTGATCTAATACTGTGTTTCTACCACTTCGCCAGTTAATTAACAAGATTTGGAATTGGTGATGCAATATTGGCCCATGATGGATCGTGAGATGATCGATGGGTAGTGTCAGATGACTAGTGTAGACTCACAAGTCCCACATGGACATTTGTTTTGCCACTTGGCATCCACAGGGGGAAATCATCTGCCCTGGTGGACACACAGAGCCTGCTTAGAGTTCTATTGTGATACATTGTTGCTCTGTAGTGCAGATCGTGTCCTGCATCAGTGTGTTATCATAATACTACAAACATTACTCACAGGTGAAAAGACAATTAGTCAGCCAATCAGAAACATCATATAATAAAAAGCTGTTATGTAGTTCAGTCATCATGACATGCGACTTAAAATCACGCTAGACTTGTTTCAGAGTTTAACTTTAGGAGCGTCATAAAACCGAGCGACACTCTGAAATTCTCGAGTCAAACACTGAGGTGCAGCACGTTCTGCCAGCTCTCTTCCAGAAACAGATTCCTCCGCTTCATCCTGTCAGTTGCTGTTTCTCTGAAACCAACATCTCAAGCATCCCAACCGCAGCATTAAAACCAGACCGCTGAATCAGCGAGCTGGCAGATCGCCTTCCATTTTAAAGCTTTTAGGTGAAGAAAGGGAAGCGCGACGAATGAAGGTGACCAGGATGAAATGTTGCCTGGGACAGAGGCCAAGTTCCTGTAGCTGAGACAACCGTCCGTGGCTATAATCCATTTGACTATAGAGGACCAGAAGTGAACAAACAAATCAGAGCAACCACGCGTAAATATTCCCGGGTGTTTACTGTCAAAACTCTTGACACAAGTGGCATTTTCCTTGAGCGTCCGAGACTGTTTACGCCCCGTTTACGCTTCAGGAGAGCCTAGTTTAACACCCGTCAGTGACAGCGGAGACAACATGCCAGGGCTTTGTTTATAAAGACTGTCTGGATGAAGCTGTAGAGGTGCAGATGAGCGACGGCGTTTGACTTGTGTCTCAGGTTTGTTATACCAGACAACTAAGCTTGTCAAATTTAAACGCACGCCTCTTTATGAAAAGTCCTCTAACCTCCAACAATTAAATGCCCTTCTGTCCTACTTTACACTAACTTCTGGTTTGGTCAGTGGCAGACAGCCACTTGTGCTCAGCTGTGTTTGAGTTAAGTTCGAGTGCAGTCGTTCTGTTTGTTTCCAGTCAGTCAATGAGGAACAGCAGACACTAAAAATGCATGTCTCTCCATGCTTGAAGTTGCAGATGCACTGTGGCGGGGATCACTCTAGTCTTTAGCAGCCCCCACGTGGACAGGCTTCCCAGTGCAGCCCCCTGAACGCATCGTGCTGATTTCAAAGAACTGTTGAAACAGTGATGATATGCACACCGTGCATGATTTATAAAGTGTTCACGACAGTGACGGAAGGAGATTTTTTTGGTCTTTCCCACAGACTGACACTGTATTTGTGGGACATGAAAGAAGGGGCACCCATGCCTTTTGAAATAAATGATTAAATAACACCATATATACTTAAGTTAAATAATAAATGAGGATTTTGCTGCCTCTCCACTATTCCAGACTGCAATCAGTGCTATAGATGGCGGCCTACCCCCTGCACTCCAAGCATAACCAAAATCATTTTATGTTTCCATGGTGAACATAATTAAATCATACATGATCTGCAAAATTCAACAACTTGACACTTGTTAAATTTATTCTTGTCGAGATGAAGTGATGCAATCTACCAAGAGTGGTTAACTGTCTGGACTTGTGATATCACAAGATCACGCAAGATTTCAAACCACAGGAAAATCACTGGAGTTATAAGAGGCAGAAAAGCATACGCACATCACGTGTTTGTGGTTTAACCTGTCAAGGACAAAAACTTAGAAAATTCTGCATCAAGCCTTGTAATCATGGCTTTCCTACTTTTTTACTGTCTGGCGTGACAGCTCGGCAGTGGCGTTTCACCAGTGCTAACAGCAAGAATCCACCAACTGGCCATGGGACCATGGGTTCTCTCTGGGTACGCCACACTCCAAAGACATGCAGTTAGTGGAGTTAGGTTAACTGGTGATTCTAAATTGCCCCGAGATGTGAATTGAGTGCAGATGTTGTTTGTCTCTGTGTGTTAGCCCTGCGATACACTGGCGACCCTGATAACAATAAGCAAAAGAGAATGGATGGATGGAGTGACGGATATACCAAAGCTGTTATAAATCCATTAAAGTTTCATGTTAACACTCCAAAGAATAACTCTTTAAATGAACTTAAAACAATCATGGATTTCCACAATAATAAATGGCTTTCTATTAGCATTAAGTACTTTTGTTGGACTAATGTCATTTACATGGGTTGAATCAACTTACTTAAATTAACTTGGACTCAACTGCAGTAAATAAATTGATTTGTCATTGATTAATTAAGCTGTTCCAACTCAGCTACATTAAGTTGAAATAACAGAATTGTATAATGCTAAAATTAAAGCACTTTAATCACTTGGAAATCCTTTTCATGATTTTTTTCGAGTGCGTTTTCATCTGCTCTGCATCCTTGGTGAGCTGAGTGTCGGGCCACCTGCTGTGGGATCTGGTTAGTTTGTCCCTTCAGCTCACACTGGAGCTTAAATTTTAAGCATCTGAATCTGAGCTTGTTAGCCGAGCTGGGCTTCAGCATTCAGGCTCCGACTCCAGGCTGCAACTTTCAGGGTTGGCTTGTCAATCTACGTGATGACATGACAAGATGTTGCACGCCAGGCGCACAAGTGAATGAAAGGATACATTCTTTTCGTTGCTGTTTTATGTTTTTACTTTCAACAGACCCACTTTTTTTGGTCACTGAATCTTTCCAGTTCAAATTCCAACCAGCTGATCATACTGAAAATCATCAGAGAGACCTAAAAACAACTACTCCCTTCACACACTCACATGCAAAACACACCAAATTCCATTACCCACTGTTTGACAAGACGCTTCAATACTATCTGGCGGATTCTCACTGAACATCTGCACCGCTATTAGGTTACAGCTGCCCCCCTGAGAGGCAACAGAATCAGCTCCATTAGAAATGACTGAATAAGGAGATTCTCGTAGCAGGACGAGCGATGACCGCAAAGATCGTCCTTGAAGTTTCCATTGTGAAAAGAAGCTGAGAAAGCGTTGCGGAAATGCAATGCTTACGGAGAAAAAACGGACTATGCACGGGTCTCCTGCATGCTTCGGCTTACACAGTTACACACACTTCATGGTCTCACACCAAAAGCCTGTCACTCGCACATCTTTAAGAAATCACTCGTCCCCCATTTGAATAAACAGTTTCTGGGGCCTTAGTCAAATAATTATGGTAACAATATACAGCACCCAGCGATGACAGCAATAATATCGGCTCTGTTCATCAACAAGGTAATTTGTGAGGTCTTGCAACTGGCGGCAGAACGAATATGCTGACATGCAGTAATGGTATATGGCCAAATGGTAATGATATTTTGACAGCAGCTATCTGCAAAGCTGGGGCTCCCACGAGCTGCCAGAAGGTTGTGCAATACTGAGGCAATACAATGAAAAGTCAGGAGAAATAAAGATAATTTGACAGAATAACTTACCACCTCCAGGCAGTCCACTATTTTGCTTAGCTTGTCGTCTGGTAGATTAGCCAAAAGTGAAACACTGACGCAAAAGAAAAAGAAAAAACAGGCATTACATTGTTAAAACAAATCACTACATGTTATTATGCAGAACCTGGTTTCCTGTGTCACAGGACACCACAGTTTCAGACAGTGCAACAAATCAATCATTTGTTTAATGTCTCGTGGTATTGACTTAGATCCTGTGACCCAGTTTTGATGATAAAATACACTTGCGTAGCATTTTATCATGACCTGAAGCAAACCTTCCTCACTGACCCACAAACCGTCTTTGGTGTTGTCTTGACAACACTGGACCCCAAAGGCAAAGAGAGAAAATGTCTGCACAAGGAGGCAAGACGGGTGGCGGTGGCACAAATCACAGGATGTTTCTTATAGTTTTGGCCCTCGGCGAGAGGTGTTTTACCTAATGTGGTCACGTCAGGTACACACCCCACCCTCCCACTGTTAAAGTCTTTATTTTGGGAGGGGCAACCAATCAGAAGAAAGCCAAGATAAGAAAGCTAAGCTTCCTAAAGAAAGATGAGAAGGAAGCAGAAACAGTTTGTTGTTGTTGTTGATCTAAAGGGCTGCATCGAGCACCAGTATTACATAAAAGGATTATTTTGAACTGTGAATCATGCACAGCTATTCTAGTAGACTCCAAGAATAAAAACACTGAGCTGGGAATGAGCAAAATAGGTCCCAGTTTGGACATAGTTTGGCACTAAAAATATTTGGTTAGGTGTGGAAAACGGTCCTGTTTGGGGTTGAAATAGACAGCTTTGTTCCTGCATGCTGGAAAAAAAGTTGTGAAAAAGATGTAAAATGTGACACCACAGGGTGAAGCACCTATTCATGAGGAGTAAAGGGAAGCTGCTCGTGCTATTGCTCTGACCGCACCAACACCACCGGACATCTTGTATTCATATGTCTGTTAAATGTCTCATTTGATCATTTTATTGGTGTCAGGAGTTTTTGTTGGACAGTCTTAGTGGACTTGAAGCTAACCTTCTGAGGAAGTTGCGATACTGTTCGTGTCGTGTCTCGGCCGTCCTCCTCATAATGTTCTGGAAAACTTCCCGATCCAAAACCCACGTCCTCACTTTGTTCACAGCTGTAGAAGCAACACAACATGCATCAGTACCACTACATGACAGCTGACTGACAGCTGGTTTAAAAGCAGCGTGTGCTGATAACAGCCATGCTGGAAAACTCACAGCACCTTGTCATTAGACACATGAAAATGCTTTGTTTTTCCAAATGGACAAAGGAGGTGAGAAAAACACTGTAATCTGTCCTTTATCTTGATGCTGAGTCACTTCAAATCAACAGAAACTCTGAGGCGGGCCTCTGTTGGTAAAAGGAGGAAGTAGCTGTGAAGGTTTGACATGAACCAGTAGCAAAGAAAGAGCTGCTCTTTATCTGCTTCATCTGTTATCACGGAAAACCCGCTGAGAGGCTTGTCAAACTGTCAGGGGTTTTCCAGTGCACCCTGAATATTGAGGTCATTTTGGCCCCCCTCCCCCAAGGACCAGCAGTCAATTTACTTGGTTAAATATACAAACTGAGACAAAGAGCACTCACATACTACATGGTATGCACTTTCCAAATGCCAAGAAGACAAAAACCAATCAGCACGAAAAGCTGCGGCTGTCATGTAAAGCCTCTGTCAACACAACCGCGCTGACGCGTGTTTGCTTCCCATCCAGGTTCTTCTGCTCAGCGTTTTAAGGAGCCTGAAACTCAGACGGAGGTCACTCCTGATTCTTTTGTTATTGACGTCATTCTGGAAGTTTGCGACGCCAAAGCGATATGCATCGACATATCGATTATTTCTTTTTTGTTTTTTCCACTCATATAATGCTTTATTGTCTGCCTGTGCTCTCAGCAGAAGTCCAGGAATAAGGACAGGAACCCCTCATCGAGAAAAGGGACAGTTATTAGAATTTAAACCTCACCTGTAAGATTCTGAGCTGAGCACAGAGTCATGTCACAGGCACCACGGCAAATATCAGGTTAAATTTGATGTGTGAGGCTAAATGTCTGGATCACAGCAGTTGTTTTTACAATTCAAACACACACGTCTTTAATCTTTTAATACATGTGCCTGATGCTTTCTTTAAATGTGACGTCACTGAGATCACACAGCCATACAACGTCCACTCCACACACACAGACACGCTTCCCACAGGGTCTCCCTGTTCAGCAGTCTGCGGCGTCTGGACAGTAACTATAGATGTTAGAGCAGTGTGGTCTTGCAGCGGTTAGCACTGCTGCCTCTCAGCAAGAAGGTTGTTGGTTCATTTCTACTCTTTAAAGAATTTAACGAGGAGTGTGGAGGATCAAACGTCCCTTTCACTTTCCTGCCAAATCTTTTTCACTTTTTATCCAAACCTCAGTGTTCTTCTTTATCTTTTTAACATCTGCTCAACAAGTTTTGGGGATATCAGTGGATTATTTCGGTCACCTAGGAATTAAAAATCCCAGAGCCATTTTTTTTCATTTATGCTCAGTGAGCAGCTTTCACCGGAAACAACAAGGTGCCATCTTGAAACACATTAATCAGATTTCATAATATATTCATGGCTGTCATGCCCAAGGCCTTCTTCAAAGACGAATAACTGCCAGAGACCATTGTTGTATTAAACTTAAACACAGAATAGAATTGACAGTCTTCAATGGGCTTTTGGATTTCCTACTTCTTTCCTGTCCCACTATCAGAGCTCTGCTAGTTCTGCTCCGTATGTGTAACCTGATGATAAACTTTTAAACTGGAACACTGCGACGCTGCATGTAAAGGTACAGTCTGGAAAAAGGAGGAAATGGGACACTGGGCATTAGGCTTGCGTTACATTTGGTGTTTGATTTTGTCTGCTGCGTGGGTCGCGGGTGATTCAAACCCTGGGGCACTCAGTGTGTTTCAACCTTAAAAAAAGCGTCCTAAACACACTGAGCTCTGATGTAGTTTCACTCTCTACTGTACAAATTCAAAACAAGCAAAAAGAATTATGGATGCACATTAGATCCAGCTGTGCAGAAAATACTTACTTCTTCTTAGATTTTTCTCCTGTTTGTTGACAAAGAATTTTATGAGAAGTCGTACATTAAAGGAAGAAAATAGAGCATAAAACATAAAACAGCAGCTTAAGTGCTCCTTGACATTAATCCTTGTCTTGTCTGTGGATTTCTGAAAGGATGAATAAAACACAGACATTCCCTGGTTTGATGTTTTTGTGGTGCTGGTGCAAAATCTTCAGGTGTTCAGCTGGCTTGAGATCTGGTGACTCTCAGTGTCACAAGATGTGTGAATCACTTTTCTGGTCACTGAACCATTCAGTAACCCCGAGTGCATCATCAGCTGCACGAAACCATCAGGGCAGAAGGCTTTCACTGGAAGGTAAAGGTGATCATCCAGAACCAGTTTGTATTGATTTTAGTGGGAAAAAGCTGTATGACTCTAAAACAGATTTGCCTTTACCTCGCACTGATGCGGTCCGCGTGCAGTTGTACAGAATGGCTAACTCCCCAAACGCAGTCCACACCGTTATCGATGTGATCAGTTTGTTATGCTGAAACACATCCAGCTTCCCATCTGCAAATATGAAACAAGGACAATCAATAGGTTAAATTTTTAAACCCCAAATTTAGGACACAGACGATGAACATATCAGGAGCTAACTGAGTGACTTTTACATCTCACTTCATTCATTAAGGTCACGGTAATATCGTCTAGGTGAAGCTTCATTAGGTTTGTGTGCTTTTCAGGATTTCACCTGGCAGACGTGCCTCTTTAATATGCTGCTTCTCAGATTTATCAGGAAGAGAGAACATTTCCATTAAATTTCTAAATCTGCATATGAGACCAGAAACCCCACAAATGTCCCTTCTTTCTCATCTCCACTATAATAGAAATTGTAGCACAAATCATGATTAAAGAAGAGTTCTTTAGTCATTATAATTAGCAGCTGCTGATGTCTGCGTGAGTATTTAAAACCTCTGATGATGAATAATTATTCATCAGAGCTGTTTTGGTAACTCTTCACAGCACAAAACAAACGCTGTGTTGATTTAGCTCAGGTGCTGAAACGTCAGAGCTCAGCAGATCAACAAACTAGGACTCTGTAATCACTGAATTTTGATGCGGTTTCCTGCCCAGGGTGAGACATCGCTTTAACACCAGACGGCAGAAGAAATACTTACTTTGTCTCTGACGAGCAAATGTCAGTTACTGGCAGAGGACAGACCATTGCTCTGAGGCCGCGTGGTCTTTTAAAAATACACTTAGTTGCCTGGTTACAACCAAATATAAACTGAATTTATTAATACATGAATACATCTAAATGAATAAGAAAGAAAAGATGAGGGGAGGGTGGGTAACTGTGAATGTATTAAAAATAAAGACGTAGTGGGTTATAGTGCATTTCACTCAATGTCCTTCCAAAATGAACTTTTTCTCTCTCCTGCCATGAATACATCACACCAGCTACATTAATTCAGTTCACTTCAGTTTTATTTATATAGCAACAAATCACAGCAGCAGTTGCCTCAAGGTGCGCTATATTGAAAGGTAGAGACCCTACAATAATACAGAGAAAACCCCAACAATTACATGACCTCCTCTGAGCAAGCACTTGGCAAACGTGGGAAGGAAGAACTCCCTTTTAACAGGAAGAATCCTCCAAGTGAACCTGGCTCAGGAAGGCGCAGCCATCTGCCACGACTGGTTGGGGGTGATCAATCTGTTACATGTCGGTTTGTTAAACTTTTAAACTTGTATACATTTGTATATACTTGCAATCTGTGCCTAACAGTCCAACCAATCAGACCCCTGCTGTTGTTTTACTTTGATGTTATTGGCTCATTCTCAGACTGGCTGTAGCCAATGAAAGGAAAGATCTCACATAGACCACAGATGGTCTTCTCAGAATGACACAACACGCACAGCAGTCACTGCTCAGTTCCAATGAAGCCGCAGTCTGAAAGCAAAGCACCAGGTTCATTTACAATTTTGTAGCCAGACTGGACTGTTTGAAACATTTCTACTAGCAATACAACAAATGCCCTTCCTGGCTGTCGTATAATCACATAGTAAAAGAATGGGATTGCACTGATTATCAAATTCGTGGCTGACGCTGATGATTTAGAGAAAAATTTACCAGAAGCCGGTGCAGTTATTTATTTATTTATTTTCATTCCTCGCCTCTTTTAAAGGGAAACAGAGAAATTTTCATTACAGTTTTTCTCAAATGTTAAAACACAAAAGCCAATCCTGTAACCCAAATGACCAGTAGTCTAAACACATTTACTAAATGTAGCCACCATATTCCAGTACCATAAACACATGTCACATGAAGACACAATTCACAAAACACAACCCTCTGTACTCATAAATCTAAACGCATTTTTCCTTGCTAAAACACATGTTGCAAAACAACTCTGCTCATATTCTCAAATGAAAGCCCATGTGATGCAAAATGCTTGCCACAGTCACCAATCTTTGAACACAGGGAACACACCTGGCGTCATTCACTACACACAATGACTCAAAATTGAAGACACTTGTTGCTAATGCTGTACCCACATGTAAAAGCAAGTTCAGAGTGCACAGTATGCTGAAGATTCCAAACAAACACAATGGATGAAGGCAGAGTCAGGGGAAGAGGAATTTGATGCAGAGGAGGGAGAAGAGCTGGCCCTGGAAGAAGAGGAGCAGGCCAATGAGGAAGAGGAGTTCAAATGAGAGGAGGAAGAGGAGCGACCAACGAGGAAGAGGAGAAGGCCAACATGGGAGAGGAGAAGGTCCAGGAGGGAGAGCAAGACAACCTCGCACCATCATTACGGACGAGATGCGAGCAACAGCTCAGCGACATGATGCCGCACAGTGATTGTGGTGTGTGTGTGGTGTGAATAACGTAAATAAAAAAACTTCACACCCTGTTCATGTTTTCAAGATTACTGTTGTGTGCAATAGATTCTGTTTTTGCATTGAGTTGTGTTACAGTAGTGTACGTACATGCAGGATTTTCTATAGATTTATACTACTCATATGAAACTCACAAATCTAAATGCCTAATCCTCTGCAGAGATCTACGACGATCCGTTACTGTATAGTTTCTAAAATATGCATTGGCAGTTATGAAACAAAGAACCTTCTCACAAATTGAGCATTGTGTTTTCAATTGTTTTGCTGTAGTGTGTAATGCTGTAGTGTTTACAGTTTTGACAGCTTCGAGCTGCTCTCTTGGTGTGGGAGTTTGAGTTTTGCAGTGGGAAGGTGTGGTTGTGTTTATGTAGCTTTAGAGAAGGGTGTTGTGTTTGGACATTGGGGGACCTGGTGGTAACGTTTGTGACATGTGTTTTAGCATTTGAGAAAAACTGTAAATAAATGAAGTCTTTTCTTTGAGCAATTAAATTGATGGAAATTAGCCACATTTACTGACTGACATATTTGCCGTTATGCCATCGACAGCCAACGAGATTTTGGCCTGTAGCGCTGAACTGATAAATCAGTGCATCGCTCCGTACTCTTCACTAAAGAAAGTACGAGAAATACAAACCCTAACCCTACCCCTATTGTTTCAACACACTCATCGGGTGGTGTTTTATAAAACCCAAGCCTTGTTACACTTTGGACATCTCACCAACCTCGACTACACCGAGGCCAAATTCATGACTTCTGAGTTTTGTAATCGCTGCCTGTTCCCAACGAGAAAACACATTTCTCTCCTTTATTAACACGAGTAAGAAAAAATGTAAGCAGAAGACTCCCAAGTGGGATCTGCTGTCTGCACTTGTGTTAAATGTTCCGCAAATCCATTTATTTCTGTGTTATTCTTTGGAGAAGTGAAAAAGCTTTTTACTGGTTTCCCTTCAGTTCCTAAGAGAAACCACATGTAATCAACACTAAGTGAATGCATTTCAGGTTAGAAAAACACTGACAAAGAGCAGCAAAATAACTGGGAAAAAAATTCCCAGAATCAGCCCCAACAAAAGCAAAACAAATGTCTGAAGAAATGGTGGCGCGTTACCCAAGGAGGATGCACAATGTCCCTCATGCAGGTGCCTTTCATTTCCCTGTCTGGAAGGGCATCCAGCACATGTATATGTGGCCACTGTGGCGCCTGCATGTGAATAAGAGCAGCTTAAAGTAGCTTCTAATTGGATGATCAAACTTTCTGCCCTTCATCGTTTGTGCATGTGTGCAATCTGTACATTAAAAGTCAAATTGTAACTTTCAAAAGTAGCCCTCCATATATCCATTTTCATGACATCTGAGGCTTTAACAAAAACAAAGCACAGATGGTGCAGCTGTGCCGCACAACACAGTTAATTGACATCCCTTTAAAAAGCCTTTGCCTCGACTCCTGTTTCTCTCTCTCCTCCTCCGCTTGCATCACTGGTGGGAGGGACTAAGCTGTGAGGCGAGGAATCAAGGATTTAATCAAGTGAGAAACAAGAAATGTCCTTTAATCCAAAAGCCTTATCAAAGCCAGGCCTTCTAGCAAGGGCATGTTCAAACCTGAAAATGATGCTCAACGTTTTGCTGTGAACATTTCTCCTCAAAAGGATGCGATAACGGGCAACAGGACAACCTCCAAAGTTATTTGCTACCTCACCACAGCGTCTTGTATATTCACCCTGTTGTGTTTGAAAAGCATGCAGACAGTGAGTGGGCTTCTCTTGGTGCAAAACTTGAGTGACCTAACAGGTTGATAACAAACCACCAACAAAAAAAAAAACTACTCAAAAAACTTGAACGCAGCCCAGCTGGTGATGCAAACTGTTGCTTCCTCATAGCACATGGCTTCACATGTTGCTCTGGCTTCTCATTGGGCATTATGTGTCATATGACATCTTACACAAACGTGGGTGCCACAAGAATAAGCATGCAACAGTAAACTGAAGCAAGCGGTGGATGGAAGTTTATTTTTCCTTTCAAACTTAACTCCAGACTAAGAAGATGACAGGAAGCGAAAGTACCTGCCAGGACAAACAGATGGTTCCCAGGCTCTCCCTGCTTGATGACGTACTCTCCCTGCTGGTAAGTGTGCTCATACATGCACTCCACCATGTCTTTGATCTGCTGCAGCTCCAGCCTCTTCAGGTATTGGTTCTTGTTGAGGGCATCTGTCAGCAGCTTCTTTACACTGTCACAGACAGCAACAGGAGAGAAGTTAGAGAACCGAGCTTTACCGAGTGTTGCTGTTTGAAGATTATAAAGCACAGTCTGTGTTCCCTGTAAGATATGAAAGAGTGAACATAACTGCAGGAGCAGTTACAGGCCCGCTGCTTTGTTTATCACTCGGAAACGTTTGCGTTTGTTTTATTGTTCTTCCTTTAGGAGATGAGAGATTCAGGAGTGAAAGTAGTGGAACCAAACCATAGTCATCTTTCAACTGCTTTTACTCCTGCACTTTATTTTGAATTAAGTAAATACTGCACGGGAGAAAAGCAAAGATGGAAAGAAGAAACTTTTACTTATCAGTGGAGAGATGACTGAGTCTTTCTTCACTTCCTTTCTTGGTTTTCACGTTTTCCTTTCTCCCCTTTCCATCTGTGTCTGTTTCATCCCTCAAATTATACTTTAAACACTGAAAACCATAAAAGTCACCTCTTATATATTTAACCAATGTGATCTTTTGTTTTCATGGACAGTTATTTGGAGTCTGATATACTCTGTGAGAGTAGTTTTCCTCAAAGGGACCGCTCACCCCAGCATCAAAGGTAGATGTTGGTGTTTTCAGTGCGGTTCAGTGCTTTCTTATGCTGTAGAACCAACCACTCAGTTCTTTGGAAAATAATTCTGATTAACATCAAAAAGAAATGATAAGAATATTAGCAGAAATTCTGTCATTTTCTTTTTGCACTTTTACATTTTCATAACTCTTAACATAGTGACAAGTGCCTAAAACTGTTTCCCAGCCTTATATGAAATTTGTACACAAGTTAAATTCACTCACAGGTTGGAATTATTTCTTTAAAATCTGCGTTGCCATCATTCTTTATTATGAGCTTAATCTCATCAAATTTTTCTAATTTTATAGTTTGATCTTTGTTTTTAAAATATGCCGTCCACATTTCTGACGGGTCACATGGTGCAGACCCACTCTTCATCAGACAGTTATGCAAAAAGTCCCCATATAAACAAACAAACCAGGGGAAAAAACAACATAAATGAAAAATAAAAAAAGGTATAAGAATAAATAATAAATATTTATTTAATGTTTTTTAGGCACATGATATTAATGAAAAACTCATATACATATTAGAGTGGCTGTTTTTCTATGAATTGGTGCCATGCTGTGTCAGTTTTGACTGGACATCCTCTCCGTGCGTGTTATTATCTGAAGAGCAGATGTGCTTAAAACATTACAGCTTTCTTGATGCAATAAACTGAAATTAGACTCTTGCAGAGTGTGAGCTTTTGATTTGAATTATTTTCTCCTCAACATCTGCCCCATTTCTTTCTTTCTTTTTTGCATATGCTGCAAACATCACCCGAGAGAACGTGCTCATGTCTAGATTGGAAATCCCTGGATTGACTTGAGTTGAAAACCACCTTTGTGTGGCTCTTAGCCTGATTGATGATGTGAGGGTAAGTGCAGTCAGATAAGGAAAAGACTCTTGTAGTCATGCAAAAACCTTGTTGTGATCACTTTAACATAGGAATTATTTTCTTTCCGTCCTCATGCTTGTGCCAGCGGATTCCTGTTGTTGATCTACAGCCAACAACAGGAATCAGCTGGCACAAGCATGAACTTCCTGTCTGCGGTGATGGGTGCTTACGTCTGCACAGCGACATGTGTAGAAAGAAAATAGTTATTGATGAAACCGACCCAAAGATTGCAAACTAGCTCTGCCAGACCACTCGAGTCACCACTTGCTCATCACTCTCCAGTTCATATGTGTATCATGTTTGTAGAGAAGGTAAGATGCCAAACTCTGACTGCATCGTTCTGCGATAATAAATCATCTCAAGTGACATCCAGAACCTCTCGCCATAAGAACAGTTTCTTCCCCTCTGCTGTTGGACACATGAACAATAACCACATGACTGTCCCCGCCACTAACACATGACCCTACGCTGTGTCACTGCATCATTTCATGTTTGGCACTGATCACCACCTGCACTCATGTATATATCTTTCTACGTAGCACTCATAATTCTTATTCTCATGTATATATCTCATGTATATCTCATGCACATATCTTTCTTTCTACATAGCACTTTAATTCTTATTGTTTGCACTGAAGCACCGCAGCAATTTCCTAATGTTGTAAACCTCAACATCTGGCAATAAACCCCATTCTGATTCTGATTCTGATTCTGACTAAACAAAGTTTGTGGATTTTTATTGTTATAATGTAACCAGGTCTTAATTTCTGCAAAGAGATGTCTCTGCAGCCTCTCCACACCCAAGTAACTTGGACAGATAACCAGCCATGGATGGGGTCACTTTAAGTGAGCTGCTTTACTTGCTCTGCTGACGTTTCCTTCTCCCACCACTGATTACACTTTCACGGTGAGTTACTGATCCGTCAGGCAGGACTCCCACATCTACATTACTCACCACATTTTAAATATTTTGTCTCCTGTGAAATGATGAGTATTCGCAGCCCCGGGGCTCCCTCCTGAAAACAGATCGAGTAAAATTGGGGAAAACATAAAATCATCACGAGCTGTCAAAATTCACCGATGTGCATTTGAACAGCTGCAGCGAGGGGATGTATACGGCGAAGACATCATCTCCTTTGGGGAGCTGTGAAAAGGTTAGGAGGCACGGTTGAATGCTAACTATAGATCACGAGAGCGAGTCGGACCTTGGAGAGGCGCACGGTGCGAGAGCTGGGTGGTCTGTTTATCCACCTTATCGTGTGTGATGAATTATCACTCTGGGCTTCATAAAAAGAAAGCAGCTGACATGCAGCCCTTTATTTTTCAGCCAACATCCCTTCCTCCCACCTAGCTGTGTCATTACCCTCCAACATGTTACCGTCATTCACACAAGTGTTGCGTATCAAAGCCTGCCTACATGAGGGTACCAGACGGCCTCATTTACATTCGTTTTGGTTATATAATCCATGCTGGGCTTATTAGCGACACATGTTTTAAACATGAGGATCGCATTGAGAGGGAGGGAGACTGCATGCTATTGTTTATTCACTGCAGAGCTCTGCGTTCGGCTTGTACGATCTGAGGAACACTCACGATGACAAAAATCAATTTTACTTTCATGCTGGAAATCTAACAACACTTCATGTGTTCATTAAAAGACCTTTTAAGTTGTTTTGCTTGTGCCTGAGCTACTTATGTGTGCAGTAAATGATGGCACATGAGGGGGGGTGAGTTGGGTCCCACGTTTTAGTTGTTGGTCTCAGTTGGGTTTGATCACAGGATCTCTGTACACTCTTCCAGACCGCCTAAACAAATGTAAAACACGACTCAATCGCTCGGAAATTGCTGCATTTGCTCTTATTTAAACCGCTTAAGAACAAAAGCGGCAGAATGCCAAATCAGAGGAGCCGAGGAAACACGGGTGGCATCTGTTACGTGGTCAGTAAAATTAAAGAGAAACAATCATATTGGTGATGCATGAAGTATCTGGATCATTTGAAAACTTTCATTGACTGCTGTTGATCCAAATGAGATCAGCGCCACTGAAGATGACCATCATTAAGTTTAACCTGAAGCACAGACTTGGTGTCTAAGAATAAACGGCACTACAAAGATGATAAAGCTATTTTTAAGGGAAAGGTATTATTTGAAGATGAGGGTTGATAAAGCTGCTTCATCTGAAACATCTGCCTCTGTTTCTAATTTCCACAGAAATCTCAACAGACAGCATACTGATGGAAACAAAGTTTCATAGTTGTGGGAAATTGTCTCACATGGGCTTTTTGGAGCCTTTGATATTAGATTTTTGTGCTACATGTCTCAGGCTATTCACTCTCTTATCAAGTGTAAAATTGAATAAAATGGGCAGGAAGTCTTAAAGAGTTTGATAGAAATGCCCTCTGAGGTCCACATCAGTCATCTGCAGTGAGCTTAGCTAACAGTCTGAAAATAGAACATAGGTTATGGAAAGCTCAAATAGAGCACACTTATCACGTTTATCGTGCTTGTTTACAGTCCACTGCAGTCTGTACGCTCAGCCAATGAGCAGCTCTCATACATAAAAGTGTTATCGACCTTCAAGTGCATTTCTAAACCTAATGATTATAAAGGCACCGCTTCCTTCCTGAGGAAGGTGGTGTCCAAATGTTTATCTGGCTTCTTTATATTGCGTGTGTGTATCTGTGTATCCATATATAAACTAGCTCATTCATTTTTCATATGAACATATAAATAATGGACAACCAAAGCAATGTTAAAGGCAACTTTAAAAAATGCTTTTATCAAAGTTCAAAATGACCTTTAAACAGATTTGTAAGAGAAAAGCTAAAAACTGTTGGGTGGCAGCCAGTCAGGATTAAAGCTGGCTGCACTGAAGAGCTGCGCAGCTGTGCAGCAGGTTTGATTTAGAAGGGTTTTAGATTGGTGGCTTCATTTATAAAACATAATCATGATGAATTTTTGTGTGACTAAAGCAGAAAGTCATGTTTGTATAACTCCTAACTTTGAAGTGGGTGAAAATCTTTTCCACAGTGTGCGTCTGCTCTCCCTCCCACGGCAGTGATGATCGAGCTTCAGTTCCCCTCGGTGTGGGTAACTTTTTTTTTTTTTTCATGACTGCTGGTCACTGGTTTGGATTTGCCAACCCGCCATTCAGTCCCTCAACGTGTGCTGCATGGTCATGCCTAATGACTGTCTGCTGATATTCAGGTTTCAGGTTTTTCTAACACAAAAAGGTTTGGGGATTTTGGACACACTGAGATTGCTGTCTCACTGCTCTCTGACAACCACTCGCAGCAGAGATGATCAGGCTCAGTTCAGCTTATTGTTGCCAAGTTAGCGTCTGAACCTAGACACTCGGAAACCTTTCACCCCCCTTCAGCATCTTTTTTAATTTTTAAAAAAGTTCCTAGTGAAAAATAAATTGGGCTCTTTCACTATTGGGATGAGCCACACCTCCCTCTGTGTTGTTCAGTGAGCAGCGGCATCCACAGTTTGTTCACTGTGATAGAGGCAGCGTCCTCTCTGAGTGATCACAGCACTATCGATAAACTTACGATACGAGTCTCTGTTGAAGCTTTGACTAATCAGTGTGGATTACCAAAGAATCTCAAAAGCTCAAAACTGGTATTCAGGAGAGCAGTACATCACGGCCCACGGTTCCTCCTGACTAAGCCTTCTTGTTCTTGTGGCTTCTACAAGACAGTTTAGGTTGATTTGAGATTTATAGATGGCAGATGTGATCCGCAGCTTCTTTTATGATTTGAATGCAAGTTCGAACATAAATCGAAGAAAGTTTTCGAAATTGGGCTCCTGCTGTGTGTAGCAAAATCACACAGAGGCTTTAAATCCAACATGCTGGCAGTTTAACCAAAGACTGCAGATAAAAAATGGAGATACCTACTGTTACATCGTTAGTTTGTGAAGACCCTCAGCAACTGAGTGAGGAATACTGACACTGCAGGTTCACACAGGACTTCTTATCAACGCGTGACCTGCTTTAACAACTTTTGTTCTACTAGTAAAACTTAAAACTGGCAATTGAGACAATAAACGTAATGTTTTCTGTCTCCTATTCATGGGGCCTTTTTTGGCAGTGAAGTTGCCCCCTACTGGTCGTTGGAGGTTATATCTCCAACAACAGTTGTAGTATGAAGATCAGTGATTGCACGAGCAGCGCGTTTCAGCTTGCGGCCTTCATCGAGGTCATCAGGGTGATAAAGCTATAATGATTTTCTTTTTACTCTAAATGTTGTAGTTTTAACCTCTTCAGACTTTTTGTTCTTCTGCTCTGCCCCTACTGGCCATTACAAGGAATGCAAGTTTAGGTCACATCAACAGTAGCTTTTCATTTCAGACCTGGAAGCTACAACAATATTAAAGGCCCTGCTTGTGCTGATTTCTCTGCCTGCTTCCAGCCACTAGAGGGCAGACAGGTCAACTATGACTGATTGGCCAAATTAATCTTCTTGTTTTGGGTGTCAACATTCAGTTGAGACATTTTTACAAATCATCATCTTACTCTTTGAGAGAAAGAGAAAAGGAAGATTTGCCTCATTGGCTTACTTTTTTTTATTATGTCAAGCTAACATGCCCTTTAAATGTCCTCCTGCTTTTAGAGACTTGATCCCTTGAAACATTCTTAGTTCAGCTGACTGTACTAACTTGATATACCTCTTGTTGGGCTGGGACTTACTGTAATACAAAGTGAGAGCGAAGGTCAATAAAATAAGAAGACAAATTCAATTTGAAATGACAGGAAGGACGGAGCCCTGAGCTTACATCATTTTCATTTATGCCTGTTTGCACCTGCTGGTGTGAGATAGTCACTCAGTATTATTTCAGGTTGTGAACATGCTTCCTTGTTATTTATCTTGGACGGTAAGCATGGACTACATAGCAAAATATAAATGCACTTTTATATGTTCAACATCTCCAAAACCAACGTTAATGTGCTGCAGTAACAGCCTCAGCTCTTCTGGTTTCAGGATTTCTATCAGGTTTTATGCCTGTGACCACTAATGAGGCTAAATACTGGTGCTGGGTGCTAAATGCCTGTGGCTCATCCCAAAGGTGCTGGATTGGGTTGTGGTGAGGGTTCCTCCACACCAAACTGCTGAAAGCGTTTCCTTACGGGCCTGTCTCTGTTTCATCGTGTTGAAACAGAAGGAAAGGCATAAACAGTCTGGAGGAAGAATGATTTCTAAAAGTGTACTGTGCAGTGCAATACACAGCGGGACATTTTTTAATTCGACGCTCTGACTTTGACTCTATGGTGTGGGTCACTTCTTTTTGAGCCCGTGAAAAACAGAAAACCTCATGAAGACAGTTTTTTTTTTTGTTGTTGTTGTTTTTTTTCTCAGCAGCAGCTGTGAAATCTTGGACTGAATCATGTTGTTTTTATAACAGACTTTTGTTGGACGTCATTAGCACTAAAATCTTTGCTTCTTTGCCCACCTTTCACTTGCCACCCACACCTCTTTACGTTGCTTGCATTTTTAAAATCTCACCCACTACACCAGGATGGACTGAGCCTGAATGTGTCATGAACCTTTAGCTGGCTTCTCTCGCCGGCATATTTTTTCCTCTCCCTTTTTTATGTTTTTAACCTTCCTGAAAACATGTCTCACCTTGCATCCTTTGGTACCCGAGCCTTCTCAAAGGAGAACTTTGGCAGACCGCTGGAGTCGTAGGTTCTTGATGTGGGTTCGGCAGATACCCCGGCTTTGGCGCCTTTCCTTCTGTTCAGGGTTTCCTTGATGCGAATGCTGAGGTTGGGGCTGCCCCTGCTGCTGGCTTTGACTGAAGGAGGCCTCGAAGCAAGACCCGCCGATGCTCCGCTCTTCATCACGTCCTGCAGTTTGTTGAGCTGGATGCACTTACTCTGCAGCTCCTCGCTCATCTCGGCCAGCACTCGTGTGTGTTTGGCCAGCTGCTCCTGGAGACCTTTGATCTGCTGCTCTTTGACACAAAGCTCCTCATCCTTCCTCTTGCCCTCTCGCTCCAGCTCCTCCACCCGGGCCCTCAGGAAATCCAGGGTCGAGTTTTTGAACCCACCGCCGTGATCTTTGTGCGCACAGCCGTCAGTGTGTTTGTAGCGCTTTGATTTCATTGAACCGTTCCCCATATTGGCACCTAGAGACAAAAGAGAGTCAAAGTTTGCTGTTATGATTTAAAAGCATCCTCCAACTGCACGATGAAATTTGGCACTAAAAGGGTCCGTCTGAGGACGCCAGAGGTGAGATTTCAAACAAAAGAGCTGACGCTGTGAGAGCAGAGAACACGAGAAAGACGGGAAGGGAGGAGAGAGAGATGGCAAATCAGTATTTAATGGTCAATGAGTGTGTCCTGTCCATTTATTATTCAGAAGGCAGGAAGTATTACATTACATGAAGAGTCACTCAGCTTCTGCTCAGACAGAAGCACGGTGAGAGGAAATGCTGTCCGGGGAGCTCATGACTGCAGAAATCAACAGAACGACTCCAAAGAGTGAAGAGCTGACATGGGGCAGAAATGTTGGAGAACAATCCTGTTTTTGTTGTCGCCCCCTCACACATACAGTAGACTTCATTCATGACATTCCTGCTGGGACGGTGTCACATCAGTCTGCAGCACTCCTGCACTTTATTCTGAAAATCAAACATACTGCTGTCTTTGTAATCCTGTTTCGAAAACCTGCGAGTGGAACCACCCCCGTTTATTCCTTTACTTTGGGGCTTCAACTCTTTCACACACTGACTACCAAGCAGCGGTGTGACAGTGCAGACTCAGAGCAGAGGCAGCACCTTGCTGTCTTTCACCGATTTGACACATTAAAGGTTGATTCTCGCCAGTTTAACTAATTAAACCTTCCAAGGGGAGCGCGCACCTGCAACTTGCAATGCCTAGTCATTCTCCTGCTGGGAGTGAAGCCTGATGTGCGCAGTCTCAGACAAACTGTCCGCACTCACCTGCTTAGTTTTCAGAGCCTTCAGAAGAGCCCGGAGGTTTTTCGGAGTTAAATGAAGGAACAACGTGTCCGTGGATCCGCGCATCAGCAGAGAGGCGCTCCACCTGCTCGCATCCTCTCCTCCCTCCGTCTCTCTCTCTCTCTCTCTCGCTCTCTGGCTTTCATCACAGTCTGTGCGGCGCGTTCTCGCACGCGCGTGCGGCGACCGGGTGTGATTGCCAGGTCAGGTGTGAATGACGTCAACCGCGACGTTGTCGTTTCTACACCGAATATATTGATTACTTGATGTGCGTCGTTGACCCCGATCAATTAAAAAAAATTATATAATTATATATAATATTTTTCATTTATCAGAAAGCTTTAGTTAAAGTGATTAAATAAATTGATTCATTAAATTGTAAATTCCTTAAAATTACAGAAGGCCAATCAAAAAGAGTGGTGAAGAAGTGAAAACACTACATGCACTATGTGTAGCCCTGGGAGTCATCCAACCTTCATTTCAACACATTACATATGTGTACTTCGTTGTCACCATGAACCATGAAATGTTCCAAATTTATTTTGAAAAGATAACAGTAGATTGAACAAATGCCAAAAGAGTCACCCTGATGGAAGCATCTGGAATTCAACAAGTGAAGGATGCCGAGGGTCCAAAAGGATGCTCAGTGCTCCTGAGAAGTGACTCATTTCATACAGACGCTGAGAGAGGCGCCATTGTCATTTCCTCCAGTTTGCTCCCGGTTTTAAGATTAAGATTACAAACAAACAGAAAATGAAAGCATTGACTCAGTGAAGGAAATGGAACAGTTACATTACTGTCATGTTGACATTAAAACGCTGTACTTTTTCTAAAACATACATCCACATGTTTAGATGCCTGGTTTCAGGTAGAAGAAGCAGACGTACAGCTCGGACTCTGCGCAGAGAACAGAAATCTGCACACAGTGAAACGTGTGGCTTGTTGTAGTGGAAAGAAACATGTCTGAGTTGTCATCAGCTTCCTCATTTAAGTATGAATCATGTTTTTGTGTTTTGTGTCACAGAGCGTGCTTCTACAAATGGTAAATGGCCTGCATTTGTATAGCGCTTTACTCAGTCCCTAAGGACCCCAAAGCGCTTTACAATCACTCGAATCAATACACTCAATACTTTTCCTGCTTCGCTATGATGGTTATGCTGCCTGATATTCGCCTCTTTAACTGATGTTACCAGATTAGATATTGGTTAGATAAATCATCTTATTGTGTTATGATTAAGTTCTGCTTTAGTCACGGGCGCCACCAAGGAGGGGGCATGGGGGGCACTGACCAAGCCCCAAAATTTGCTGCCCCCCTAGCAATACTGTCCTATGTTGGTAATAATTTTAATATACTTGTATGTGCTGTGCCACGCCAATATTTTTAGTGGCCCCCATATGCCACCCCTATGTAAAATTCTGGAGGCGCCCCTGGCTTTAGCACTTTACATATTTGTAAGCAATGTCTGCACTGGCTTTAAGTATTTTTGTCCACTTGTGGGCAGTGGTGCAAGAGGCAAAAACAGCACCTGATACAGTGATATACACCAGCTATATTATGATTTAGTCATGTTTCTGACCACCTGTGGTGGAGGTCTGATATATGGTCCACAGCAGCTACAAGGAAGGAAAATATTTGTCTCTCAGCTGCTCCACTTTCCCACAAGCTTTAGGAGGAAATATTGAAGAGAACAGATTTTGGAATTGTTACTGTTTTCAATGCTGTTATTACAATTTTCAATAGCACAGCCTTAAAGAAATACAACAAAAATCATTTGAATGGGTTAATCAGGTGATGAGTGTAAGTACAGGCTCATGTTCTTGTCTTGGTCTCTGTGCGGCCGTGTTGTCTGTCTAGCTTAAAGTCTAGACTTGAAGCTGCAGTCCTTCACACCAGCGAATGATTAATTGGTTTTCCTAGTGTGTTTGTGCATGAAGCAGCCTCGCCTGCAGCAGATTCCATTGACAGGCACAGAACAATAATGGCAGGTGGCCAAAGCTGATTCATCTGCAGCACTCGGGTCACAGCAAAATAATAATCCAGGTCACTGACTCCCAACCTGAACCTGAGAGGAATCTCAGGGGCCGGCTGATGATCTGAGGACGTATTCTGAATGAGCAAACAGCTTCACAATAAAGGCGTTTAGCTGATATACACCTCCTCCCTGTGCTGCAGTAGGGCTTTAACAACATGCTTGAGGGCACTCTGGCAGGACTCATCCTCACTTTGTGTTATTATTGAATATTTTGGCAGTATTGGGACTCTGCTTTTAAACCCTGTGGCCTCACAGCAGGAATGTGTGGTGTTTGGGTCATCCTCACCAGCTGTAGTTATGAGTTTCCTGTTGTTGTTTACAGTGTTTCATAATCTCACAGGAGGTTAAAAGTACAAATACTAATACTATCTTTGTAATTACACAATGAAGAATGTAAAAAACACGTTACCAGGGTCAGCTCAAATGGGTTCACATGTGCACTGCTGATCTTAACTTTATATTTTTTAACAACCCCTTTTCCTAAAGAATCATTGATTTTCCTGGGGTGCGATTACAAATACGCATGTGTTCTTATTGCCTCGTTAAATAAAGATTGTAGGGGACATTGCACCATCTAGTGGAGCAAATTTGCATCAAATGGAAGTACAGCTCGGCCTTGATTCAACTTCAGTTGATATCTCTTTCACAAAGTGCAAACTGGTTTTGGTCATAACATCATAATGGTTTTTATATTCTATTGAATATTAAAGTCACAGACTTGCAGAAAACACCATTTACTCAAACTGCAAGAATAAAATTAACTGTTAGGGTCATTACCTTACAATATAAATCCATATATGTTAAGGTACCGTATAAATAACATTGAATTAAACTGTCAATAAGTAACTGTTAGGTTAATATTCCTATATGAAAAGGTTCATACATTAATAAGACATAGTTCTCACTTCAGACTCCAGCAAAAATTATTATAGTTAATTATTAAAAGAAGTGATGTTCTCACTTTTGGTCTGGTAGCTACAAAAAGTGTTATTTGCTTATAAATGCGTAATAACACAATTTTATTCAATTTTATTTATACAGCGCCAAATCACAACAACAGTTGCCTCAAGGCACTTTATATTGTAAGGTAGACCCTACAATAATACATACAGAGAAAAACCCAACAATCATATGACCCCCTGTGAGCAGCACTTTGGCGACAGTGGGAAGGAAAAACTCCCTTTTAACAGGAAGAAACCTCCAGCGGGGTCGGGCTCAAGGAGGGGCGGGGCCATCTGCTGGGACTGTTTGGGCTGAGAGAAGGAAGACAGGATAAAGACATGCTGTGGAAGTTAGACAGAGATTAATAATCAGGTGTGTGTTAATGTTAACCACATGAAACCAACAACCAAACAAAATCATAAAGCTTAGTACATTTGAACGACAGCAAAGTGAGTATTTAAGTTTAACTTTATTCACATTATTACTGTTAATAACTGTTTATACAGCTTTATTATCTAATAACTCGTGTTCATTAATTACATGGGGCTGAATTTAAAATGTTCCTCTGTAGTATTACTTGTGTCACGTGAAACATAATAACATAAGTATAGTCTAAACGTAAAAGGCAATAATCCCATATTTTTAAACTCCATAACAAAGTGTTGGATTATTTGGAGAAAAAAAATCTTCTTTTTACTCATTACATCCGGTCAAGACTGGAAATTTTCTCTTTAGCTTTCTTTTTCTTTTGTCATGTGTAGCACAACACAGTGTAATGTCATCATAGTGATAATAAGCGCTGTGGTTTAATAGTTTTTGATGCAGCATTGTGTGTTTTAGCTCTACTTTAATCACATCTAACGTGATGCTTTTAGGCACTAATAAAGAGGCGAGGCTGCCGGACACTGGCGCCACCGGGCCCTCTGACCACCACCAGTAGGCAACGGG